TCCTGTCACATGTCTACATGTCAACAGATTATGCCATATGCTGTCAGAGCTTGTCTTGGTAGAGGAAAGGATCTCTGCTATCACAACTGTCAACTATTACGTTTAAGAGAATATCAAATATAATGGAAAACATAGCCTACAGCCTAGATTTAAATTTGGGAAGTTTAGCATCAATTGAACTGAAACCTGACTTGTCCATTCTTGGGAGTTGTGAAGCATCAAACACGATTCAGTGTCTGCATGGCATTCATTGCTAAGATTTGGTGTCCTGTTTCACCTTAGTGATGCATCACAGCATTTAGGATTTAAAACCAATAAGGACAATTCATAAAGTTTATTAAACGATGGAATTTGTATTATGTTTCTTTGCAGTTTATCTACTACTGAGCGGTATTGCCACTAGGTGGTGTTTCTTCAGCATTTATGTAAGCCAAAGATCGTTAATTGATAAACATATCATATGTCATCTTGTTTGATTAAATTAGGGTATTAACTACGGTTTTATCGACAGGTATTAACCATTTAACCGTCTTTGCCTCTCAAAAATTTTAGAGAAATAGCCGTTAGAGAGGCAAAAGCTTAAGTACATATGTGTAATTACATTTTCAGTGTTCAAAATCCGAGACAGAGTGAGCCCTCTTCATGTTTCGCCTCTCTCGGGTGACGCTGCAGAGCTTCCGCTTTCCTACTTCCGTACACAAAGGCTCGGTGATGACGTGTACACTCCAGTACCGTTAGCTAGCTAGCTAGCTAGCTTAGCTACCTGTCAGAATAAAGGCGTTTTAAAATAAAGTAACGTTACAAAGCAAAGGGAAACACATCGTTTCAACAAATCACGGAAGATGGAGTCGCTGTACCATCAGACAAACAAGTGAGTGTCTTTCATCTGAGCAAACTGCAGACTCAGCTAGCTCACAAGTGTAACGAACTAGCTAATTAACTTAATGATTTAACTTCAGCCATAACAGTTTTTACCAAACTAATGTCAGCATGTTAAGATTATTGATTAATAAAATATTAACACGGATGTTCATTTATGTTCGTAAATGTTTAAATAATTCACGGAACCGCCAGGTTGTGTTTTGGTTTTCATTCACTATCGTTATGTTTGTTCTGGATTAGGCAAATCCAGGAGGTGCAGTCTTTTATGGGCAATCTGGAGAAGACGGATCGTCAGTCAGTGCACTGTGAGTAGTGAGCTCCACCACCTCCTTTGAACTGTTTCTGAATTTCTATTCAGTACAGACTCCGTGTTATGGCTGCTCTCATATAATGGCGGTGGGGAAGTGGGGGGCTGGTGTCTAACTAGTTGGTGCCTGCCCAAGTTCTGGGCCAGGCTGGTGCCAGGGCAGGAAGAAGTGGGGTGTGTGCAGGGACAGAAGCTGGAAGGACTTCTTCTAGATAATAGTGAGAACCAGGCAGTAGACACCCCCTCCCTCCTCTTTCCTAATTATGACATCAACTTGTAACCCAGAGGAGGATGTAGCATGCTAAGCCTATCTAATGAGTGTGGGTCAGTCCACAGCTGCACTCACACTTGAGTGTATGAAGTTGGGAAAGTAATAAATCCTTTTTTCAAACAAATGTATTACATTTAGCAAGGGTTCATTTTTACCTGATCATATGGAATTGATCCAGGAGGGAAATGTGATGTAATGTTTGCCATCCTGTAATTATACCAAATTTACTGTATTTATTTTTATGTTCTTGATTTTTTGTTTTTCCTCAATCTTCAAGTGTTAGAAAATGAACTGCAGGCTAGAATCGACCAGATCTTCAATCATTTAGAACGCCTTGAGATCCTGGCCAGCAAGGAACCACCAAACCGCCGCCAGAACGCCAAATTGTGAGTTTGGAGTGAGTCAGTTGATGGTGACCCTAAAGCCCCAGAGCTGGCAGGGTGAAACATATCTCATAAAGGCACGGGGGAGGGTGTAGAAGATGAGACCCACAGCCCTGTCCTGCCTGTGGCGACGTGGCTCTATGAAAACATTTCCTCAGAAGCCTCGTCATCACCAGCATTCCTGCTGCATTGGGCAAAGATTCACTTCTGAGCTGGGTAAACAGGCCTTAGGGGACACAGTACACCTCATCCCAAGGCACTCGTCTGATCTTAGAAGAGCTCTAGTGGGGCCTGAATGAGGCTAAGGAGAGGGGGAGACTGTGAGAGAATCTAATAGTCAAGAAATGTTCTCATCAACCAGAACAATTATTAACTGTTAGAATTGCTTATAGGATGAAGTGGAATGATGCATTGTTGTAAAATATATCGAGGTAAGTGAGTGTGTGGTAAAAAAGAGAACATTTTGCACAGTTTTAGAGAGAGCTTTTGTCCACTTCATAACCAAGGTTGAACAGTTTTACTGTATTCTCTTTGCTTTCCCTCAGGCGAGTGGACCAGCTTAAGTATGACGTCCAACACCTTCGGACCGCCCTACAAAATTTCCAGCATCGACGCTATGCCAGAGAGGCCCAGGAGAGAGACAGGGAGGAACTCATGAGCCGTACCTTCACGACCAACGTAAGCCAAATGTACCTTGGTCGGGAAGTAAACTGGATAATAATGTTGCTACCAAGCTCAGGTTCGGGCTAGTGAAGTTTGCAATCACTTTATTGGGCATGAATCCAGCGTTCAGAGGTCAAAGTCTTGGATTGATAAAAATGTGGTAGTGTTCAGTGAACTTTACTCGTCTTTGTCTGGTTGACACACAAGCCAGCTCCCTGGATGCAACATGCAAATGTCTCAAGCTGATTAATGTGAAATTAAAAAGTGTTCTCGTTCAATAGGACGCCGATACCTCCATCCCCATAGATGAAACCCTACAGTTAAACTCCAGCTTGCACAACGCACACAGAGGCATGGATGACCTCCTGGGCAGCGGCGCTGGCATCCTCAACGGTCTCAGAGATCAAAGATCTACACTGAAGGTGTGTGCATATGATTTGATACAAGATCTAGAAAAGTAGCGGGCAGGCGGCCATCACTTACTTTTATTTGGTTTTCTAGAGAAAGGAACCAGTATACAAGGGTACATTCCCAGGATAGATACTGGTTTAAATTATGTTCCCTGACCCAGTTTCCAGTGTCCACATTTATCACAATAGCCTCATTGTTACTGTGTATGTGCTCAGTTAAGAGGGTGAGTCCTTATTTCCAGGGAGGAGATGGTTTTCCTGGTTTTTGCTTCAGGCCTCCTCTTATCAGGGTGTGTCTGTTGATCAGCACTCATAGCCCGGTTGTCTAGCCATGAGAAACTTCTGACGGAGCGACGCGTCAGGGAGGGTGTTGTGCACTCAACGTCTCCCAAAATCAGATGAATTAGTGTAGATAATTACAATGTTGTCATGTAATGCCTGGATTTTCCACAACCTTTTTTGTATGGCTGTTATTGCCTGATTTAACCCACAACTCTCATTACTGGTTTGGCTCTGCACAGGGGACCCATAAGAAGATGCTGGATGTGGCCAACATGTTAGGGCTGTCCAACACAGTGATGAGACTGATAGAGAGGCGAGCCACCCAAGATAAGCTCATCATGATTGGAGGCATGCTGTTGACCTGCGTCTTGTTGTTCCTGGTAATCCGATACCTGGGCTGACCACCATCCATCCACAGCCTGGTTTTTGAGCAGTTGTGGACATTTCTGCCGCACATCATCCCTCATGATATGAAAAGTGGCAGAACTGAATTTTTTGCATCAGATTTAAGTAAAGATTTTTAAAAAGAAATTGTGCCATTAAAAATTTGTTTCCCATCATTTTAATTATTTTGGGCACCTGTAAAATGGCCAAAAAAGACCTCAATTACATACAGTATTCCACTTGAAACTCTCAAGAGAGAATTGAACTTTATAATAGGTATGCTGCTTTCCTCAGATTACTGCCACACATCCCTACTCTAGTCTTTATCAAAACCACTCTGATACTGTCAGTCACTGTACCCAAATGGCATTTTAAAAATCCTACAAACTGATCTTTATACTATACTTGCCTTTGCCTCCAGTAAAAAAAACAAACTGTTTTGTTCCTCAATCTGTCATTAGTAATGTCAGTGTCATTCTGCATTGTCAAGCATGGTTCAGAGACAGAAATAATAGTGTGGAAACACTCATAATGCTCCATGTTTTATTACATTGCAAATTTAGTATTACTCCCTGGAGAATCTTTTTTTTTTGTGTGATGTTTGTGTAGCTAAGGTTATACACCAGAGATAAACAGGTTGGCAACAAGGATCAAGCTGCAATTATTCTGTAATTCTTTTACACCTTCTCTTGCATTTATGTGTGGGTTCTAGCCTCACCATGTGAGTGATTTAATTCTCTTAACAGAATAAAACATGTTTCATTTCCTTGGTATATCTTCACCAACTGATTTTTGACAAGTTAATTAGAGCTAGGGCTGGGCAATAAAACGATAATTTTCTTTGATAGAAATATAACAAATGTTTGATAATTTCATCGCAAAAATAACACTTTTCTATTATTTTTCTATTAAGATATTTATTTTGTTGAGGGAAAATGACAAAAGATTTTACTTAATTTTGCTTGTGCATAATCGTTTTATTTTTATCATTAAAATTGTTTTGAACGTTCTACCTCAGATTTGTGAAATGATAATAAAAATGACTGTCATGTTCTGACCATAAAGAATAGTTTGAAACCACAATTAACCCTCTGATTTCTTCAACTTTCACTCAGGAGCAAATCTTTAAACTTGAAAGAAATACTGATTTGACTGTTTTTACTGAATGATATATTTTTTTATTGTGATGACATTTTTGGCCATATCGCCCAGCCCTAATTACAGCTTTCCCTTAACTCTCCTGTTAACATGCATTTTGTGGATTTACTGCTTTCACAAGCCTTTTCAAGGCAACTAGGGCACCATCTAGTGTTAAATTTTAACAGTGACCTCTGCAGGGGTTGTTTGACTATCCCAGATGAAATTACCACTGAGTGAATTTCATTAACCCAACATAATACGGAGAGAAAAAAAACACATGAACTCAAGATTTTATTTGCTGAAACGTTAAGTTTTTAAAAAATACAGAGTTGCTACTGTTTGACAGGTCACTATACTTTGCCATCCCAGCTTATTTTAGCAGGGGTCCTTTAGAAACAACCTTGATAAAATACGTACGTGACCATCTTTTACCCATCTTGTCATTAATTTTTTCCCCAATGCCAGTCTCAAACCTCTAGAATGTTAATAGGTTAATCTACAGCAGTTTTATTTACAAAATTACACAAAAGCAAAACACAGCCCTTCTTCTGAAGAACATTTTGGAAAATAATTTAAAAACAGAAAAATACAATTATTGCAGTATACTACAATCTTGTTACATGATGCAAACGCACCATCTCGATGTACAGATTTCAGTGCAATTTATTCAGGTGTTCCCTCACCACAGGGAACATGAGCTTTGCCTCAGAGCATCAGGGATGTTAAAACCCCTACATCACATTTCCCCTCGCTTAGAGAGGGAGGTTCCTATGTGACAATGTTATTTCTATTTGGACACCACAGCTGTAATTTCATATGGTCATCACTGATGGGATTCTTCACATAACACACTGATATATGTACAAGTTACTGCATTACAAATTATTTGAGACCAAGGATCCAATAGAGAGCAAGTAGTCATATGACAAGATAAATAGTACTGAACAGAACTAAACTGTCTCTGAAAGTTACATTACAGAACTGGAGCTGTTCCTCTCTAGAACACCACTTTCTCATCATCCTAACATGATTCTGCTTATAGTTTCAGCCATTACATCTCTCTTTGGCTGCCAAAGTGAGCAAAACCTGTGAGAAAATTATTTTATATGGGAAACAAAAACACATCCAGTGGTTTCTTTGAATTATCATTCAAAAAGGGGTGGTGTTAATATACACCCAGCTGGTACATAAACCAATGTCTTGAGGAAGTCTCTTTAAATCTACACTGTTTTAAAAATTCAGGGCAAAACATGGAGGAAAAAAAAAAACATAAGCCAGAAGAAAATGTCAGTGTCAATTCTGAACCCGACACAAGCAGCACCACTTTGTGGCTACAACTTACTGCACTGTGTAGGTCAGTAATACGGTGGTTTAATGACAGCTTCCTGTCTCACTGCCTGCCTGTTGTCGCAAAGACTTTATCTTAAAACCCAAAACCAAGCCGGTTAGGTTAAGTCTTTCCTCTAGTAGTTGGGTGCTGGGACTACACTCCTTCACTTGCATTTTTATTCAAGAGCCATGATTAGGTGGGTGCTGGAGGTCCTGCCCTGAGAAGATTGGGTGTAGCAGTGGGTGGAGTTGGAGAGCTGCTGCTGCAGCGGCCTGTGAGGGCCGGGGTGTGAAAAGTGTGGGGTACAGGGCTGTATGTGGTACATGGTGGAGAGCTAAGGGGGTGTGGTGAAGTGCAGAAGCTGGGATAATATGTATAGGCTGACCAGAGAGAAAGGCCGTATGGTGGGCAGGAATCAACCCAGCATGTCCGAGTGAGTGTCCCAGAGAATGACCAAGGGAGTGGCCAAATTGAGACAAGGAGATGGGGGTAAGGTGGTGCTGGGGAATGTGGTGTACCTGGGCCAACTGGGCATGTGCAGGGTGTGGGTGGTGGGCATGCGCTGGGTGGATGCCCATGGCTGCAGCAGTGGCAGCATGGTGCTGCAGGATGGCGTGCTGCACTGTGGTGATTGACGTGCCGGAGGCTACAGACACAGTGGGCTGCTGAATGTGGATCTGCTGCAGGGTTGGGGGAGGGGGAGCCGGGGCCATGTTGGCTGCGGCTGCAGCAGCTGCGGCTGCGGCCGCAGCAGCAGAGGGAAACGTCTTCACCTGCTTGGCCATAAGCTGCTGTTGGATGTGTTGCTGTGCAGCCTGTTGCAGCTTGCTGTATTTCTCCATCTCCTCTGGTGTGAATGTAATGGGCTGACTCTCTAAAGGAGCCAGTCCATCCTCCTCTGCCTCCATGCCATCCTCCTCCAGGTTGGGTGGTGGATAAGATGGGTAGGCATGCATTGGTGGCTGCTGCTGCTGCATTTCTGGCATGAGGGACTCCAACATGGGATTCTGAGAGGGGTCCTGCCCAGATTCTCCTTGGTACTGGGGTATCATCATGGAAGGCTCCTGTTCAAACAATGGCCTGGGTTCTTGGTGCACCAGGACTTCTGTAGTAGGGTGCTGTGTCTCCTCTTGCACCGCTGTGCTCTGTGGGGCCTCCTCAATCTTCTGGACCAGTGGAGCTGGAGGTGGTGGTGGAGGAGGGAACTCCCTTATAGGCTCTACCAGGATAACCTCCCTCTCAGCCTCAGAGCCTTTCCCTGGTCCTGATTTCTCACCCTCATCAGGTCTGGTAAGGGGAATCAGGGGTTTCTTCCCTGCCTGCAGCTTACCAAACAGCGGCAGCATGGCTTTGTTTCCCAGGGTAGGGGGTAGTTTGGGACCAAAATAGCCCTGTGGCGGGTCCTTAATCTTAATCCCAGATTTTGTTCCTGTGGCAGAATCATCAGTGCTTTTTTTAGACTGAACCTTCTCCAACAGCTGGCGTGCAGTAAGGGTGTTTTTCTGGTCCCCTGCATCTCGGGACCCTCCTGGCCTCAGAGCCTGCGAGCTGGATGAATGGCTGTTGCGGTTAAGGCCTCGAGATGACGATGATCGTGGAGACTGAGAGCGGTAGATGCGAGAGCGGTTGAAGTCTCTGCGTTGTGCGTCACTGTCCCCTCGTCCCCTGGGAACTCGCCGGCGTGGGGAGCCTTTGGTGGAACTGGAGGTGCGGCTGGCAGAGCTGTGGCTGCGGCTGTAGCTGCGTCTCCAGGATCTTGCGCTGGTGCTGCGGCTCCAGCTACTGGAGCTCCTTGAGCTGCTCCGATGGTGCCGACGGTGCCTCTTCCTGCGGCTGTAGCTGCGTGACCGCGAGCGGGAGTCTTCTGAGGACGAAGAGGAGTACTGATGTCTCCTAGATCGTCTATGTCCTCGGCTTCCCCTCCGCTCATACTCCGAGTCTGACGAGCGTTTGGAGTGCCTCCGTCTGCGACCTGCGGTGCTGTAGTCACTGTAGCTGTCTGAGTAGCTGCGGCTACGGTGGCTGTAGGCGCTGCTGCCTGCTGAGGAGCGCTCAGAGCTGCTGGAGTAAGAGTGACTTCGGGAGGTTTGGCCCCGATGGCGCCGACGACTGCTGCCCCGCCTTTCCCCCCGCCTTGAAGAACGGCTGCAGGACCGCCTTGATTCCTCACTATGGTGACGCCGTTGTTCCCGAGGACTTGACCTATGATGACGTGAACGCTGAGCATTAGAGCCCCCTTCTTCTTCACTCTCGCTACTGGGAGGCCTACCAGGACCAGGACTCTTTTGGGCTGAAGTGGAGCAGGAGGCACTTTGAGGTGCACTGGAGTCAGTCTTTTGTCGCTTGGTGCCACTGTGCTCCTCTGAGGAGTTGGCCTTGTCTGTGCCTTTTCCGGTAGCTCCTTCCTCTGCTCCAGACCTGCAAGGCACTTCCTTTGTAGCACGTTTCCTCTTCCCCAGTTCTGCTCCTGTATTTCCTGTAGCCACTCCTCCTCCAGTTGTCAGCTGAACAGAGGAGGCAACAGTTTTTTCTTCTGACTTTGGTTTTGCTTTTTCCTTTTCATCACCTGTTGCCTCATCTTGATCTGGAGCCTTGTTTTTGCTCTTCTTCCGTTTGTGTTTTTTCTTCTTTTTGGGCTTCTCTTGCGTTACCTCAGTCTCTCCCTCTGCATCTTCTTTGGCTGCCTTTTCTTTTCCTTTGCGTTTTGAATGCTTGGCGGACTTCTTATGCTTCTTCTTTTTCTTTTTTTTCTTGGCACTACTGCTGCCTGTCACAGCCTTTTGCTCATCACCTTGTGATTGACCAGTCTCGCCCTTCGTCATTAGCTTGTCTTTGTCAGTGCTGGTCCCGGGTTTAGTGGTAGTATCTACTTCAGCTGTTGAGGTAGCCATCTCTTGTCCTTTGCCATCAGACTCTTCACAAGTCTTAGGGGACTTTACCGCTTTCCCACCACGCACCCCTTTGTTGCGGGACAGCTTGAAGTCAAAGTAGAGGGGATTACAGCTGTAAGACAGGGAAGGCTGAGCTTTTGTAAATTCGAGGAGCTCAGAGGGCCACTGCAGGGTGGTGCTCTCATCTTTGCTCAGAACTGGGAAGAAGGGACCTGTTGGGATTTTAGGACCTGAGGTGGAATCCAGAGTATCCTGTGTGCCCTCTGCTTTTTGTATAGGTGAAGTGGGTACGGTGGAAGCGGTGTCTGCTGAACATGGAGTGACATCCTCTGTATTCAATTTTGGCAATGGAGGAGTTGGCGCTGGGTCAGGGGTTGGAGAGATATTACCATGTTCTTTTTCAGTCATGGCCTCTGTTATGTTGGGTACTGTCTGTTCAGAACTGTCTTCAACCTTTTTCTCCTCCTGCCCCTCTTCCTCGTCTTCCTCTTCTTTGCTCGGACACTGATCAGTGGCTTTCATAAACAGCAAAAACTGGAAGTGAGGCTTCACCCGGCAGTGAGCTGGAGGTATATAGTGATAGTACTGAGGCTCCTGTCCAGCATACCCTTCCTCTTTTTTCATCATCATCTTCAGTTTGTTGAGAGTGGAGGCTAGAGAGGCTCCATCATCAGGCTGCTGCACCTCTTCCGTCCCTGCCACACTACTGCCGTCGCCCCCTTCACCTCCTCCTTCACCTCCCTTAGAGCTGTCTGTGCTGCAGCCAGATGTCTCTTCTTGCCCTCCAGCCTTTTCTCCCTCCTGGATCTCCTCTTCCTCCATAGCCTCCTCTCCATGATCAGCAAACACTGCTGCTGCTGTCTCCAGCTTTACTGGGGCTTTCTTGGCAAAAGAGAAAGACACACTGACTTTGGATGCACCACTAGGAGTTGGGGAGGAAGAGCTGTTCTTCCCCAAAGAAAAGCTGATGGTAGGGCCTGGCTTCGGGGAGGCTTGCTCAGTTTTATCTGCCACTGATCCTTCCAGGGCACACTCTGTCAAAGCAGTGTTCTCAGGTGTCATGTTGTCGCCATCTTCAGCATTCTCTCCATCCACAGCCACTGTGGTAGTTTTGAACATGGGCCCACTTCCTGGAGTACTGAAACACAAAAGCATGACAATGTGATGTGCGATACATGTTTCCAACTGAATACCAGATGTAACTGCAGTGAGAGTTCAACAGGATAATTACATGCTTGTTGTGTCTTTTTACATCACAAAGTGCCCAACAAGGTCCTGAAAGTCTTCAGTATCAGATTCATTTTTATAAAAAAAGCAAAAACCAAATCATTCCACGGAGGCTTGTGACGATTGGATCGCTTATCAATGATTGAAGGGATGATGAGCGATTAGTTTTTCATGTGCCGATATTAAGCGATTTTGACTAACTCACTATCAGAACTAAGATGACATAAAAACAGTCTATCTGCACCACACTGCAGTGTTTCCCATTCACTGATTTATTTGTGGTGACATGACAATATCAACACTGACCACCACATACTATATAGCCTACTATTCAATACGAGTAAAATCATAATTATTATAAAAGCACATAGAGACGCTCACAGTGGGTTTCTGTGGGAAACTGTACTGTGTATTTTACAGATGTTTCTGGTGTTTTCTCTTAACGCTAATAAGCCTTTTTTTCCCCCCATGCTGGCATTTCACTGACTGCAGCAACGTAACCTGGCGATCAGATTGCCAATTGATGATCTCAAGTAGCCATGATTAGACAATATGAAAATAGAGAAGATCGCCCAACCATAATTCAAGGAATTATGAGTCTGTTATAGCAGGGTTTTTGACATGTCTGTTATTATAATATTAAAGAGTGGTGTAACGGATCGTAGTTGATCCGTACAGATCCCTCCATGGTGAAAAACTGCTTTATTGCAGCTTTAATGTGATGTTTATTGCAGCTTCAGTAATATCTAATGCCTTCCCTTCGACGCACAGCTCTGCTCGCTCACTGGAGCAGCTCTAGTCTCTTTGCCCATCTTTGGCACAGCAGCCTTCAGTCTTGATATGCTGTTACTCGTAACCAATCAGATAGTGCTGTGGGTGGGACAGTGAGTGAGACAAGAGAGGTGACTACAGAAAGAGAGAGCAGCTACATCAGTGCCGAAGTTGGGCTTATTAACATGAATTTAATCCTAACTTTATTTTTTTCTGATCCAAAACATTTTCAGATTGGTGACTCAAAACCATGATGTAATCTGAACTGTAAATTGTGGTGTTTGTTTGACCTAACTGGTTACACTGTGGTCATTCAAAACACAACAGGCACACTAAGTTATAGATTTTGAAATCCAGCCAGCAGAGGGCACTCCAGGAATAAATTCTTACATGTCCTGTAGTTTCCTCTGCTCAGCCAGCTCATGCAGCCGGCGCAGCATCTTTTCTTGCTTCTTTCCATGTTTCCGCGAACGGGATGACACATTACGAGCAAACTCTCTCTGCTTCAGCTCTTTAAGCCTCTGCATTACACAGAAGCAAAACATTGACAACACAGGGAGAAACAAAACACATCAGGATCTCTTCTCTCCCAGAAAAAAAGAAACACTTATCTCATGTTTCTCTTCATTATGAGTGCAAGAACTTTTAATCACAACTTGTACCTGCTTGTGAGCGTGATCATAAGAGTTGATGTGGTTGTCAAACTCCTGGTGTTTGGTGTACTGTTTGTCACATAGCTCACAGTAGAAGTTGGCTCTCAGGTCTTCCAGAGCCTTTGCAATGGCTTTCTCTTTTTCCATCTGGTCCTATTTTTGATTGGAAAGACAGGAGGACATGAGTGAATCAAATTAAGAAAAAAAAATTACAGTTACTACAGTACCTGTCTTCCATTTCATCCTATTCCAGATGTATTTACCACAGCAGCTCAACTAATATAGGTTATAGAACAAACAATAATTATCAGAATAACACAAGGTTGAAGGGCCTCACCTTGTATTTTTGCCGCAGTTCTTCAGTATCCTCCTTCTCCACTTCCAGCACTCTTCTCTTCTCTGTGGCGTCCTCTGCATAGTCCAGCTAAAAAGGAGAAAACAAAACACCCCTGAATCAAAGGGAACAGTTCAAATTAATCTTACGCCATGCCATTAATACATGTGGACAAGCTGTTATACTGTTGGCACATTTGGGCTACAGGGGCTATGACTGGTCAGTTGTGTTGCTTGTAGGCATGGGCTATTACCGGTTTCAAGGTATCCCGTGGTATGAAAAAGTCAAGGTTTCAAAAACACTAAAATTTTCCGTTATACGGTTGCTGCCGTCAAAGACGTACTGTACTTTACAGGTATCCTGCAGGTTGTGTGTGGCTTAGAGAGGGTAACACGACCCCTCCCCCTCCAGTTGGTGCGAGTAGTCAGTCACCTCTGTGTAGGATGGCCGAATGAGGGGAACCCCTGAACATTTTCCCCCGTTGAAAAACACAGGAAGTAACATGACAAATATGATATCCCATCTATAGGAGTACCATCCACTACATGGCTAATTAACTAGCTAACATCAGCCAGTTTCACCCCTCACGTTACTTCATAGAGCGGGGAAGAGCAGAGTACTACGTTTCTGCGATTTAGTACAACAATTAAATTTAACTGGTATTATGTCTATATAATGGTCCTCCAGCATTGTGTAAATCACAACATTAACAAAAATAATAATAAAAATTAATGCTGGGCAACGATTAAATAAACCGATTAGATAAAATGTTTAATCGTGATTTATCGCATTAATCGCATTGTTATGCGCAAAATTGAATAATGAATTCTAAAATAGTGTATAAAATGTACTGCTATATACACAAAAATGCAATCACATGTGGTTTGCAAACATTTAAAACAAATAAGGTAAGGTGCTTTTTACCAGCAGTATTTCCTTTACACAGTAGCAATAAAATATTTCTTGCAAATCTAGCTGTATGTGTGTGTGTGTGTGTGTTAGACACGCTCACACTTTCACTCGCTCTTCTTGTGTGTGTATGTGCATCAACACTATAATAATAATTTATTTTATAGTGTTATTTGATATTATTCTTAGCAGCAGTGGTATATGTTGTTGCTTAAAAATAAAATATAGTGTTCAATGGAAAAAAGTTTCATTCAAAGATATCACATTTTAGAGCTTTTAAACGTGATACTGTGAAACCGTGATTTTGTGCTTAAGGTTATCATACCGGGTAAATCCCATGTCGGTCCATGCCTAGTTGCTCGTGTTTTCTCATATGTGTTTCTGATGCTGACAGATTGTAAAGTCCAGCTGAAATCCCGTTTAAATCACCCCAAATAAATTCTCCATCTATGTATGAATACTGGAATGGTGTCCATCAAATCATTGCAAAACTAGTGGGAGACATTATGAAACAAAAAAATGTTAATTATAAATTTGTTTCTTGATGTTTCTGATTTTTTTCTCAAAGGAGAACTGAGGAGTTATTTACCGGGCAGATATATGTGCTGCAGCAGACAAAAATTGCTTTTTCATTTCAGTTGGACTTGAGTAAGATATGATGGATTATAGGAACACATCAACACAGAAGCAAAAATCTTCCTTAAAGCGGATAAATGATCGAGCATTGAACATCAGGCATACTGGAGGAAGCAGATTTGAAGCATCTGCACCTTTGCCATTGTTACTGTATCATACTGTATTTTCTGTTAGAAATGAGGTCCAGGCTCTGCACACTGTAGTCAAGATCTTTAACAGACAGCCTGACAAACCACTTGTGTGGACTGTGCTTTGTTCACTGTCATGCTGAAGCAGCCACCACAAAGATATTACAGACAGCATATGTTATGTAGCAATGACACTTCTCTTTAGTGGACCTAACCCATACAATCAATCTTCGTCCACTGACCGATTTGCATGTGGCACCTATTCATTCGCTCGGGTATAATTCTCCTGGCATCCACAGCACTCAGATTTGTCTGTCACACTGCAAGTTGGTTATGCGTGATTGATAACGTCAGAGAATGTTTTTGCTATACATCAGTCTAATGTGGCTGAACTTTACACTCCTCCAGCTGAAACTTGGCACTGTGCATGGCGCTCTTTGGCTCATGTATGGGTTTAACTCCATGAAAATGTATTTAAAGCACCAAATTATTCTTCCAGAGACTGTCTGGAAGACAGTAGTGAGCGTTTAAACCGAAAACAGATTTAAAAAAAAATAAAGTTTCACCGTTTGGTAATCCTGTTTTGTGACCTCATGTAGCCAAGTGGCCCACAACCTTGCATCTGAACTTCTGTTTTCTCCTAGTTGTTTCCACCGAACAGTAACATAACTCACACTTCACCAGGGTGGCTCTTGAAGGGTAGAAATTTGAGTAAACTGTTCTATCTCAGTACCATGCTGAAAGCCACTGACAAATATTTGTGTTACAACATCTTAATGATCTTTATTATCATCTTTATTTTATATACCTCTCAGCAAAGATTGTCATCTTATATGTATCCTAATTTTGTTACAGCAAAGTAATATTAAATATTACAGTGGTGAGAACTCTACTAAGAACTTGTCTGATATCAAAACAAGTTCAGAGCAAACGCGTAAGAATAGCTTAAGCTATTGTTGGTCACTGTCAGTGTGTTGTGCCCTGAAGGCAACTGGCACATTTAACTGGACATTTAACTGCCCGGCGCATCTAATATATTCTCATTAATAAGAACAACATAAATAAGTAATGGGGATGAAATAAACAGCATCATACCTCCATCTCCATCCGTCCCATCCCCATGACATCATATTTGAGGATGATGGGCACAGGGTCAGTGCGACCTGAGGGAAAAGAGACAGAGAGAGGACTAGGTGAGTCTTTGAGACTGAGACGGAGGGCCAGCTCGGAGACAGCCTGCTTTTAGAGCATAGGGTGCTGGGGTTAGAGAATTTTGCCTTGAAGTGCAAAGAGACCAGAAAGCTACAGTGAACCAAACATCAGCCATTCTCACAGCTTACTGCAGCCACCAAGACCAATTTATCTAGTGTTCCTGTTAACCTGGCTGCTAATTTGCATTTTCAATCAGTCAAATTAGCTGCAATTATTGTTTTGCTGGTGAATTTAAAAGAGTAAAAGATATCAGGGTTGTTCAGCACTACAGTATGCCTTACTAGAGAAAGATAAGGTTCACTAGAAACAAGGCTATCAGCTTTAAGCCAATCCTGTTTCCATATCTATTCAGTGTAGTTGTGCCACCCACCACCCCTCCTCCACCCGTTCGATGCTGCAGTCCTGGTTAGACCAGAATGCCAAGTTTATCAAGGACGCTACAGCTTGAGGGAGAGTGTGTGAGTGTGTGTGTGTGTGTGTGTGTGTGTGTGTGTGTGTAGGGAGTTGCAACAGGCCTGCACAGCTGCTGCCACTGCTCACAGAGTGCCACTGCGACATCCTCCATGAGGGGAACAAAGCCTCCCAATATTATCTAAGGCCTATTGCATCATCTCTTTCTGAAATGTCTGCAGCCTGGATGACCCTTGAAAGCCCCTTTCACTGTCCTCAGGTCCAAATCTGTCCCCTTGTCCCAGGTCCCCTTTCTCATCATGACTGTAGCTGAATGATTAGTTTCCTCTGTCTACTTAAGCTATGTTATGTAAGCTGTGAAAAGAGCTAGATCGGAAGGAAATTAACTGTAGAAAAATAAACAAACCAAAGACAAAAAACAGAATGAAACATTAAAGATATAAAATATTTAAAAATCAAAACTACTTTGGAGATTGACACGGAATTGCTTAATCCACTCATAATCAGCCAAACAAAGCAGAGAGAAGGACAGAGTAAAATTAAAAAAGGACACAAGCACTGAACTACAGCAGAGTGACGTCACAGGCCAGGTATCGCCATGGTGACAGTGCAAGGGATGGGGATACTTACCTGGTAAAACATGGGTATGGGTGGGTGGGGGTGGGGGGGGGGGGGGGCAGACAGACAGATAGACATGGGGATCTCAACACAAAAGGAAAATAAAGAATTTGGACTAGTCTGCTGCTCCTGTTGCCAGCCAGATACAAGATACAATAATCAATCTTACTGATAGTGATTATCAATTCAGTTTGGTTTCAGTTTTTTTCCCTCCCGCATATTCAAGTTAGTTTTTTTTTTCATGAATCAAATTTCTATGTATACCATTGGGCGTATGGAATAACGACAAGCACCGGGGTTAGAAATGTACAATCAAAGTGTCATTGTTATATCTGTGCCAAGTAGGCCAGGCGGTTTAAATTTCACCCAAATTTGACTAAAAATGAAGGACTTTCTCAAATTATCCACTGTCCTGTGAAAGTAATACTGTGAGCCAAAAAGAGCATGTATAATGTATTAAAAAGGGGCTATATGTAGTTTTTTAAATGAAATTAATCACTTTTTAATTGCCTATTTGTAAAAGGGTTATAACCTCACATAAAAATGAATCATTCGCCTGTAAGCTGGTTCCTATGTGAAGAAATCTGATTGTATTTTCTACAAAATCCATTGGCTTAGGCAGTGATGTTCATGTGCACTCCTGAGCCTCTTGCCTATTGATTCTGAACTCAACAGTGACAACACCGCAGGCGACACCTAAAAACGACAGGCTCCCAAGCACAACACAGACTCCCAACAAAAATTCCATGCAGGGATAAAAAAACAACAAAAAGGTTTTATGGGCTGAAGGCCGTCAGGCCAAACTAGAATCAGATCCACATCGGGCGGAAACACAGGTCAAACCTGACCCTGAGTTGACTTCTAATCCTGTTAGACAGGTACGCTGCGGATCACGTGAAATATATTGGGATTGTGTGTTTTAGTTGGCTCAAGTTAGCTAACGCCGACATATTATCATGACGGCTATATGCAATCAATGAAACAATGTCATGCAACAAGCTTGGATTAGTTTAACATCAAGCTGATAAAAATATTACGTAACGTGGGAGTTTACCTGAGTTTCCCGCATTTTGTGTGATGCTGTCTCCAGGGTGTCGGCCTCTGTTTTGGCTCACTCACCTCACCGCTAAAGGCCACTAAAAAACTACACATGGCCCCTTTAAATGCAACTGCATTTTAAGGCTTGGACTGAATTTATTGCTTTAATCGGGGCTGCTTCCTGGCACATTATTACCTTTCTGGACAGAGGAAGGTAAGAACATTATTGGAAGTAAATATCTGTGTCATTCCCGTGCTTTCCTTGAGTAATTTAGTCATCACAGCCCAATGACATTAATTCTGAAATCATAGATGCATGGGCATTGTAACATATAATGGCCTGCCTTGACTCTCCACTGCAGTGTCTGGCAGCTGGGTGGGCTTTTATCTAAAAACGTAACACTGATTGCATGATTTGAAAGAGCTTTTTCCACTGAGGAACTGAGAAGAGGACTGATTATGTGATATCTGGATCACAAGACTATCTATTGACAGACATGTTCACACTCTAGAGAAGTGAAACCAAAAAAGGGGTTAGTCTGTTAGCCAGCCACTGCAGTGGTCTGTCTGAATTGAGTCACAAGCCAGGCCCAGAATTAAAGATTAATGAACAATTACAGTCATCCCAAACTATCACCAATCTTTAAACACAGTGACAATACTTCGACATTACCCATTCCAGTGGGGAAAAAAAAGGACCAGACAAAAACAATGTGCATCTAAATCACAGGGTGTAAATCACAAGGTTTAAAAAAACTGAAAACAAACAAAATGACAATGTTCTAAGAGTAATACATATGCATGATAATATACAAGCAGCAGAATGACGACTAATACAGAGAGAATTGAAAGCCTATGTAGCATTGGTGCTCTGATGAGAGGAAAACAAAAAATGGGAGAAATTAAAATAAAATAAAAAAAACAATTCAATTGGGGGATAAAATAACATTTACCACTAAGTTTACCATCAGCACAACATGGGCAGGATCAAATCGCTGTAAAAAAGAAACACCAATTGGTTAAGCAGGAAGATTGAGGCACATAGAGAAGGGAGGGTGGGGTTGGGAGTGTGGTTGTGGGGTGTAGGTTTATTACCAGAGGGGCATCAGTGTGTCACCCCCACCCCCCTCATCCCTTCACTCAGGGCTAGGTGCTTACAGGGATTTTCGCTCACCACTCTCTCCCAACCACTCGTCCCAGTCCCCAGGCCCCTAGCCTGGCGTCTTGCTCCCTCAACCAGAATATTCCCCAAACGTACCAAACTACCTAAAAACTTAAAAGCCCTGCAAACCCTCACTTTTTATCTTCACAGAGTGGAAACTAATTTATTTGAAACCCCATCAGATAAGTACTTTTGAGGAGCTGTACTGGGTGAGGGAATCATTAAACAAACAGCGTCTGATGGAATATTAACTCTGACAGGTAAAAGGAAGTGCATCGTCTAACAAAAGTTGTGAATCTACTTTTGGAGTGTCTGGTATGGGGAAATGATTTTGCCTTTTATTTAAAATATTTCTTTTAACATGTGGTCAAATATCTAGTCTGACATGATGCCTCTAGGGATGACCACCATTTTCCCCCTTTGAGCTTTTTTGCCTTGTCAGCCCAGTTAGCAAATCTCCCTGAGATTCTTTCATTTCCTCACTAGCCTACAGCCAGCCAGCTTGTTTTGGGATGTGCTTAACCCCGGAACAAGTGAACACATGACACATAAAATGTACCTGAGGAAAGAGCCAGCAAGGCTTTGAGCAGTGCTTAGAGCAGGTTCTGCATTGCTATGCAGCAGCGGTTTTTACCAAAGTACACTTAAAATTGTGAACTGTGCGCCTGTCTGGAGTGTTACATTTCACTCCATCATGTGAAAGTGGTAGTTCAGTGTGTTACCTCCAACACTGCTTAAAGCCCCAGGTGAGTGTGACAGTTTGAGGCAGGCAGGAGTGCACCTCTGGGACAAACATGCTGTGCAGGAGGGGCAAATAAACAGGGGGAGGACGGGAGCACGTAACCATGGGGAAAGAGACATTCGGGGTGTAGAAGGGTGGTGAGGTTTTCCCTGTAAGTTGACTCTATGGCCCGGTCAGTAACATACGCACACATATCTCAGTCCCACGTAATGGCCACACACATACACACAAGTTTCACAGGTTTGGAGGTAGAAACAGGCAAACAAGCAGAGGGGGAAAACTTGTCTACTCTGCAAGCCATTCAAAGTCTGAGCCGTAGTTACAGCCAATCAGATACCCGTGAGCAGCAACGGAAACTCAAAGAGAAAAAAAAATCTAACATACGTGGAGATGATGATTCTAAGGGATGTGATGAAATCATGGCTTCCTAAATCTATCTTGATTTCAAATGGATTTTTGTTCTTTGTTCAAATCGAAGCACTTTTCACTTGCAGATTGAAATAAAGGTTTAGTGATTATGAAGCAAAGAGGAGGAAGCTGACAGAGGCCATTAGCCTACGGTACACTGTAAAAAGGGGTGTTACATTGAGGTCAACTGCAGAGTGGGAGAAAAAAACACCCACACACACACACCCACAAACACCCATACACACACACACACACACACACACACACATACAGAGGGGATCCAACAAACCTTACCTAAAAAGGGGCAAAAAGGACAAAAGAAGAATAAGAACAAAGTCAATACAGTGAAAAACTTAAAAAGGGGACACAATGCTTTCACTTCAAAATTCAAAACCTTCTCTTCTGGCAAGGAGGACAGTTAAGGAGAGGAAGATTATAATAATTATCCAGCAGGCTTCAATGTGATGCAAGGGTGCAATTGTGTTGTGAGCCTACTCCTAATGTGCATTAGCAAATTTGAACAGAGATAGTGGGCTCCACCACTGGGCCATTAATTCCTACACAACAACTGGACACACTTTGCCGCAGTCTCATCTGCCCACAAAGCAAGGTGCTTACATAACCACACATCAGTGGTGCCAGCGGCAGAAACAAGAGCACAGTCAGCCCCTGCAACTTGTTCTCTCCTCCACACAAAGCACGCATCCTTATCACATAATATAGATCGCTATTCAGATGTTCAAAGCCAGATAGCAATAAACAATGACGGACACCAAATGCTAAACTGATGTGTTGTTTCTCTCCATACCCTTGTCAGCCTGCCCAGAATGAAACCGCTTCCTTGTCTACTCTGGTCCCTGGACATTGTCAGGCCGACAATAACTATGTGGCAACACATGAAAAAAAGCCATATATGTACACGAACAAGAGGTGCTAGGGCCGGCACGACACAGCCACAATCAACATTTAATGTCTAAATGTCAGACCATAACATATCATGGCTCTTCAATCAGATTAAAACCAATGTGAGCAGATATAAATAATATGGATATAATGTGAGCATATATAAATAAAGATACAAGTGATTTACCTGCATGTAAGACTATTTCCACACTACACAATTAAATCTGATGACACACTTTATATGTGAAAATTACTTCTCAGACCACACTAAAACACTATAACAATAGAAAACAGGATAAACTTCTTCTTACTCTTACTTTTTTGGTCAGGTAATAACAAAATTCTTTAACATAGCCATCATCTGGGAAAGTAAGGACACATGCAGCCTGGTTACTCTGCTTAATCTCAGCAGGTTAAACCTCTTGTTTTGCGAACACCTGCTCCAAATGAGCATGTAGTACTGTACTGTATGTTTCAACACAGTAATGCAAACAATTCAGGAATTCTCATAGACATAATTTTTGGTGTCTAGTATCTGAAATAATGCACAGAAAACTGAAATATCATTATCAAAACCATTAATACAAGGAAAGCATGGATTTTTTAATAATCTAACTATGCCGCCTACAAATCAAATTAAGGAGTCTGAACACAGGTAACTCTATTTACATGTAATTTAAGTGACTCACTTTGGTAGCTGTGCTACATGTAAGGCTGTAACCTGTTTATAATTTGGGCATGTGCTGAAGACTCGATTTTGCAGAGTGAGTGGTGTTTCCCATTAAAATGCTAATACTGAGCACATGTTACTGCTGGGTTTACAGGGAGAGCAATGCACTTGAGTTGCAATTGAGCAAGACAGGAAGAAATGACTTAATGAGAGATTTAGAAATGAAACAGGTAGATCTGTGGTTAAAATGGTCTGAGAGGATAGAAAAGAACATAGTGGAGGAGGCAGGGAAAACTAAATGCTAAAATTAAAATTATATGGAGACTGCAAAGACTCAATGGCCTGCCAGTGATGACATCACTCATGGACAATGCTATCCACATTATCCTCTTTGGAGAAAGTGCAGGCAAGGGTGAGGCAATGAAAACAGAGATAAAGCAAGAAAGAGAGAGAGAAGAAAGATACTGATAAAGAGAAGAAAGAGGGTGAAGAGACAGGAAGAGGTTCAGTGGAAACATGCCAGGTCTCTGCACCACTGCCTCCGAGCCAATGGGCCTATGAGAACAGCAGGGCTGAGCTAATAAAGTGCTGACGTTAGCCAAGACCAACCCACACACTCAGCTCTGTTCAGCCTGCTCCCTCTTACAGCAAGTCAAAATCAGCTACGCCATCCAATTACAGCTGTCTCCAGAATGTAAACCTATTTAATGCAGCTTTCTAGTCAAAAGCTTTCTACATCTTACAGAATGAATTCAATGTGCAGAGCTTACGGAGCATTTTCATGGTACAACTTTCACTACACTCAAGAGACGATCCTCAGTCTTAAAATAAAAGAGAAAACTTTTAGTGCACATGACCTTTTGTTAATAAAATAGATTTTCAAAAGAGTGAATGTTACACAGACTATAGAGATTTATATCAACATTGTGAATTTAGTAAAACCTTAAGACATAATCGAAACAGACTCAAACAAATCCAGACCGTCTAGTGTACCTTAGTTCTGGATTGAGTGCAATTTCATTTCCACAGGGGCCTGGTCCCAGACAAGGCCTAAGAAACGTCTTCTATTTTGCATGAGGCAGCCATGTTGGATACAGTACTGGCTAACATGTTGGTTTGCGTTTCCAGAATCAACCATCATCACTTATCACTGCCCAGAAAGAAAATAAACGGGTTCAGAGAAAGATCTGGTGAAGGTACAAGATATACATGCTGGCACATCAGCAATCCACGTTCAAGTACATATCCACTTAAGCATAAGCTGGTTGGCTAAAACAACTGGGTGTGAACAAAACTGTATTCAATTAAACTGTGATTTCTAAGAGGGAATTATTCGGAATTGCTAAACTAAATGCGTCACTGTAAGACAAAGAAACACTTCACTTCCATCTCCCAACCCTGAGGATCTCTTCCCTGACTCTTAAAATCCTTTACAAGGCCTCTGGAAAATTCTCCTCGCTCTTCCAAGTTCAAAAGAACAGCAGCACGAGAGCGACAGGAACAACTGGAATGACGTTTGTTTAAATGAAAATCCATTTACCAAGCAACAGACACAAAAGGAGAGATCAGAGAAAAAAATGTGAAGATAACAGAAAATTTGCTGATACAAAAAAAACCCTGGAAATACAAGGGGAAAGAAAAAGACAGTGGGTTGTGGCCCAGTACCACCAGCATTCATTGATCATAGGTGTACAGAGGAGTGAGTCCTTACCCTGCATGGTTTTGCCAAGGCCTTGCCCCAACTTCCAGCCATGTTTCTGAAGCAGCCGGTGCCCGATGTTATCCTAGCAGAGAGAAGACAGGAGAAAAAAACCAAAAATATTCCAATAATAAGAGAAGCTTTTCCCTGTGGGCACTGATCAAAAAACAAACAAACAAAACAAAATAAAACACTCAGATCACGCTATCATCATCAGCACAACCACCACCACCACCATCATCATCATCATCATCATTATCGTCATCCACATCACCTACAGCGTGTAACATCAGTGTCTTCCAGCACAAGGAGTGGTAAGGTTGGGGGTGGGGGGTTAGAGGGTGGGAGACTGAGCGGAAGGGTAGGTTTTCCACTATGATGAATACATGAGGCTATGTGTTGCCTGTAAACTGCAGGATACCGTCCTAGCTAGGAATGCAGATTAAAAACCTTTTTCTAAAAAGGCAGAGAAATTGGGCATGACCATTTCTATTTTTTTTGGATGATAAAAGATAACACATCAAATCACATCCACTAACTGATAATTTAAGGGGAGGAGGGAGAGGGCAATATATGTATCACACGCATACATATATGAACCACTACAAGAGCAAGATCTTAGTACACAAAGAAAAGTGACACAGAACAGGTATGGAAATCTTGCATTAACAAAACAAAGACCAGAAACTCCAAGCTTGCTGTGATTCTGTAACCATGACAAGGGAAGCACCATGAAACATATGCAGCTGTCACAAAAATATAGCGAGAGGAAGAGACAGACGTGGAGCTAGTGGGCCTTGGATTACCATTACAAGGCCCAGGGTGGACAGAATATTCACGTGTGAGGGGATATGTGGGTGTGCAGGTGAAGAGAGGGAGACATCATGTGCATGTAAGATATACTAGAAATAACTATTGTGCATGTTTTTGGACACCTCCACCATCTCTGGTCTGTTATCAGTGGCCTGGTCCTACCCACGTTCACACTTTTGATTTTAAACTATTAGTATTAAACACACATTTACGCTCTTAGCATGCCTCATCATTGTCATAGATATCATTAGTATTCATAAACTACAAAACATACTTTACAAACTAGATGGCTTTCACCCAACTGCAAGGCTGTTTTTAGGTGTACAACAAGAGAGAGTGAGACATTTTTCACACTGGATCCAAAAAGTGTGCAAATACAGTGAGGCCATCCACTTTAAAGTATTAATTAATTTTCTTTTAATACTAATGATTGCTATGACAAAGTATTTAAACACAATACATGTGGACAAGATCAGGCAACTGATAATGAATCAAAGAGGCTAAAGAAGAGTGCAAGAATATACACACCAGGAATTCCTAGCACACTCTGGGGCCAAATGTGAAAGTCTGAGACTGTTATATCACTAGTATGGGTCAGCAAGAAAACAAAAACATTAAGTGAAATGCAAGACCGTCCCACCACTACACACTACAGTACATCCTCAGGCACAAATAAACAGGAAATAATGAGATTTCTTAATAAGCAGTGTTTTTCTGTTGTGATTATAACTATTCCAAGCTTGTCTAACATTCACCAGAGTGCTGCATTCTACCAAAAACATACAAACCAAACAAAAAGGATATTTATAATCACAAAGAGATTGACATCAACTTTCACAAACAGAAAGTGAAGGGGTTGGAACAAAACAGCATGCAGCTTTTTGTTAAAGAGTTTTAACAAAAAGGATCGTCGGTGTGTTAGTAGCGCACTGTTAATGGTACACAAACAGAGAGGTGGGGCGGGCTGGGGTTGGAGGGTGGGTTAACAAAACTCCAATTGTGTTAGTCTCAGGTGGATCAGGCACAGAGAGGAAGGTGATGGCTCAACAGGGCTCAATTAATTCTCTTTGGCAAAAGAGCGGGTCAGGACAGAGGGCAGAACACAGCAGGCTGAGCCATGGTGTAGGTGAGATTCTAGGGTGGTGTAGGTGAGCTGGGCTTGTATGGGTTAGTGCATGTGAAGGGGAGTGGTAGTCACACACAGCACACACTGCATCTCCGCCCACAAGGTCTCATTTGGGATACATTTGGCGTAATCTTTTTGTCAACCACTGTTGGTATTTCAGAGCAAACTGTTGGCCTTCCTTTGCCCTATTTAGTACTTCTGGGGACAAAAAATCATTTGTAAAAAAAAAAAAAAAAAACCTGTGAAACACCACTTCACTGTCATGATGACTAGAAAAGATTTATCCAAAACATCTGGCTGATGTTTGCCTCGAATACCCACGAGAGAGGCTGAGCTGCCTCACTTCCTGTTTCTGTTAGGGTTTGGTATTTTTTCCCCTCCATTTCATGGATGTATGAGCTGTGCTTACTCTATGTGACTGTCAGATCCCTTCAACTTTGAGATGAGATAGGAGAGGAATCTGTGCTGGGCCTCACATGGTGGGAAGAGAATTGGTGACAGCCTGTCTGTATCAACTCATCACTAAGACCTTAAAGGCTACATTAACATGCTGTCACTGTGTATACGATGTTGCTGCCTGGCAGTTCCCAGGACATGTCATAAACTACGCAGAATTAGAAGCTGTATGTCTGAAAGAGTGTGTTGCCTCCTCTCTGGTGGACAGCATGTCCTCTGACTTCATTGTGAAAGAAAACACTGCAGAATTTGCTGCAGTGAACGCCTCCCCTCCAGCCGACATTGGATATGCTTCTGTCCCTTGCTGCAGTATTATGGTGCAATAACACTCTATACATGAACATTTATATTGATTTGAGGGGTTAGCTGATCTATTAAACCAAAGAAAATAAAATGAACCTAAAATATCCACCTAAGAAATACTCTTGCTCTGCCTCTACACAATCCCTGTTTGCTGATTTTGTTTATTTTTCATCAAAAAAGTTACAAACCTTTTAAATTTGATTTATTTTCTACTAGGGCAGGTTGGATGAGGCACCAGTCACTAATAAAAAGATTAGTTCAAAATGGGCACAGCAAAGGTCGGAGATGAGGCGCAGGCTGCGTGTTGAACACCAGATGAGTGCACCAAAAGAATAGACAGACAGACGGATGAAAGCAACGACGGCGAGTCCAACAGCAGTGCAAGTGGAGTGAAGGCATTTCCATACGAACCTGGCTTTAAAATACTGGGCTGTCAAAAAAACAGTCACACGTGACACAACGTAAGAAACCGGCCAAACGCTTTCAACTGCAATTCTGCTAGCTTCTCTAGTTCTTAAAAATGCAAATCTCTCTCTGCTTTTAAACAAACACAACACTGTACAAACAGAAAAGGTAGGCATGTCAATAAATCGACCAACTGACTGTTAATACAGGAGAAAGAAAATTAGAAAATGTTATCCAAACAAAAGAAATCTACAAGAGGGGGTGTTTTTAAAAGTGTGCACTGTGCTGTCATTGGCACAATGCATGGCAAAAGATATAGGTGAGGGAAGTGATATGCAGGGGACCCCACCTAGAGACCTCAGAGTACTTGGGAATCTTTTTGCTTCTGTCTATGCAGCCATTTAGATGTTTACAGTATTGATATGTTTGTGTGTCCCTGCCACTAAATTGTTCTGCTTCAGATTACCAAGGGGGATGTACCACGGAACAAGCACATTAATCCGCAAAGGTGACTAAACCCACATTAACCAAAACTACGCCTCTTGCATGTTCTGAAAGAAAATGGAAGAGACCCTTTAGTGAACGCTCTTGCAGAAAGTAAGTTGCTGCAGTTACTCATCATCCTCTCTCGTGTCCCTGAGGAATGTCAGTTGGCAAGTGCTGGTGGTGGACAGGGACTGTTTCCTGCTGCTCCACATAAACTCTTACAGTCCCTGTGTGTTTGGTGCTCTGTACATTCCTGGTCAGTCTCAGCTACTGCAGGTGTGACTAAATAGAAACAACTGTCTCAGTGCATCAAGAGCCAAACAACCTAAACAGAAGGCTCCTGCTTCCCAGTGAATGGAGGCAAGTGTAGGTGTGTCAGATTGAACGTTAAGGGATTAAATCTTTCATTAACTAAGTGAGATGGGAAAATGACAGAAGCACAGTCCAATTAATAAAAATGTTTAAACATAATAATTTAAAAATACATACTTACCTCATAATTCTGAAGGCCCAATTCATCAACTGGAAGTTTATCGTTAAAAACTCTGAAGGGCAAAGTCTGAAGGCGTTCCCAACGTCTTTCAACAGAGACTGACACTGACATTCCCACTGATTGTGAGGTAAGGTGGTCACACTCGTTTACTGACAAGTGCTTATGGTTATTTTTTATCTCCTCTTTTTACTCCATTGCAGACTGAAAACATCTGAAGGGCCTCAGCAATGACATTGGACCCATCACCCTGCTGCTCACTGGGTAAAGAATGGTGCTAAATAAAGAGCTTGCCGTAGAAAATGTTGGTCGGGATTTTAAAAGGATTGGGTTTGACCTTTTTTTTGTGTTCTTCCTTCCCCTTACTATGTGGCAGAAGTCTAACAGTTAACAGTGACACAGAGCGGTGTCAAAAAATGTCTGGCTGTACTGCAAAAAACTACGCACCTTATAATTCAGTTCCTGGTGACACTAATACCCACTAAATGTAACCAGTCCTTATAGGCCTTTGTAACTGCATCAGAGATAATTAGTAGTGTTTTCAACGTGGATAAAAAGAAGTACACTGTCTTACAATAATCTTCCTAAGGCCTGTGTGTTTCTTAGATTTCCAGTGTGTATGTGTGGTTTCTGTGGCTCTGAGGCAGCCCGCTGCATATCGCTCTGGGACAGGGTCAGGTAAGAGAGGGGAGGACGGAGGGTGGGTTGGAGGGACTGGAAAGGGGAAGGAGGCGTGGGAGGACTGAGTCTGGGAGGAAAATTGTAGTAGTAATTAGGACAGAGTGTTGAGAGAAAATAGTACTGAATGCTACCAAGTTAACACATGCAATGCAAAAACAATGTTAGAGAGAAAGAGCAAAGACCAAAGGGGAAAGACAGAAAGAGAAAAAAGATCCCAATAAAGTACCACAGACCTCTAGCTGCCTATAGATCACACACAATTAAGTGGCAGGGGAGGGGCTCCGAGTAGCTGGGCCGAAGCTTTTAGTAACCGCAACACATTTGGTCAACAGCTAGAAATCCTACCACCTAAAACGTATGCACTACGGAGGCAGGGACATACCTGTGAACCTAACAACATGGCTACATACTCTATGTTAGTCTACGTGGAGACCATTTTGAGGCTAAGCAGGAGTAGGTATGTTTCTTTTTGTCTTCTGTTGATACTGGCTAGTGTGTTGGTACATTTTTTCAAACAAGAACTGTGTAATTTGCTATGTGAAAATGTCTCCATATCATCTAAAATGATCTTCAGGATTAACAGTTGGTGGCAAACTTTCATGGTTACTTGCCTGTGGATAAAAAGTCCGCCACCTTCATCATGGGCCATGCACTTTCCAAAGACAATATGTCAGGGGTGCAAATGTTACTACTGGTGACTAAATGACAGCTGACGGCACTTGTGATGTGAGAAGAACTGCGTGATGCTGCAGCGCGGCCCTCAGCGCCCCTCCACAAATAATAGCGCAGGAGTAAAGGAGCCACTCAAGCCAGGTAAGCAGGCCACCTCTCTCATATTCCTTTCTCCCTCTCCACCACCTACACACGGTGGGGTGTTTGTGTGCCTGTGAGAAAGTACGTAATACATAGAACTCAACCAGGATATAAAATTTTAATGTTCTCATTTCACTAGATCCTAACTATGGAAATCACACGTTCAGGCTACAAATATGATGATACACTGTGAAAATTATGAACAAACTTATGTCAATTGTGTTTTTCTATTTTTAAGGACAGACAGCAAGGACAACGAATTTTCTCCTGCCGCTGATCTGATTGGGTCACAAAGCATGTTGGTAATGTAGAGGAGAGGAGACCCGACACTGTGTACATAAGAGGAGTTTGGGCCTGCTCACCACAGTGCTTCAGAGACAGAAGAGGGGATGGAGAGAGTGGGAAAGACAGAAAGAAGAGAGCTGCCTGCGCTATTATCTATGTGCCTCTTCAGCGAAAAATGCAGTCCCAGTTGCACAAGCACCATGCCAGCACAGAATGACAGAGGGTACTGTACACCGAATCACTGTGTAGTAGGGAGGGAGCGAGAGAGGTAGAGAGAAAATAGATGCAGAGTGTGACAGTAGTGAGAGAGAGAGAGAAAGACAGTCAGAGAAGCGTTACAAGGACCCTAAAGATAGGAGTAAGAAAGCAGAGCGTGCAAATACAAACCAGGTCATTGCTGCTTAGCTAATAGGGGCCAATTCGCTGCAGGAGAGAAATGTCGAACACCCCAAGTTGTGTACAATAAGATAACTGTCCTATAGACATAAACACTATACACTAACACATAATTTCTAAAGCTACACAGGAACACACTCTCTCAAACACAAATGTAGCCATTCACACCATCTAATGTGCACTCTCTTGTTTCCTAAATGGAGCGGAATAAGCACTGCCCACTTTTAATTAACAGACAACTCTGAGCCACTGTCAAAATAATCAGATATAAAAATTGTAAACTTTAATCAGACTGTTTTTAAATCCTAATCTGCCCGGCAACAGGTGTTTATTATGTTTGTTCTTGTATAAGAGGGTTTTAAATTTATGATCACACCCCTCTGAATACATTTCAAATAACACATTGGTTGAATAGGTGGCTCACCAATGGATCATAGAAATATAACAAAACTGCAAGGCTCTGTATAGAAACCTCACTGAAAGTAGTTATAACTAGTATCAAGAATAAAACCTGCTTATTACCAAATATGGAATTTCATCTGAATGAGTTTAAAATGGATGAACAGCTAGACTATTCACAAAACAGCCATTAATGACAGTGCTTTATCCACTCCATGCTTTCAGAGTCATCTCATAGTGCTAAGATGACTAACAATGACTAATGGGAGACTGATACAAAAATCAAATGTTTATCTGTAGCAGGAAGATCTATATACATAATCATTTTAACTGTCATACAGAAAATGGAGTACGCAGAGGGCATGGGAAGTGGAAGGGACTTAAAGGGTATTAATGGACATGAGGCAAGTGATTCTACAGGTTAGGTGGCATGTGTGTTCAAGAAAACACTGGATGCATCTACATGGACAGAATGACTGGAGTAAAAAGGTGTGGTTCTTATTCCTCCCTGGACCAATCATCCACTCTCACAGCTGGTCCAATGGTGCGGGATGACAGATGCAGCCTTACCGATTCGATGGGCTTGTCCAGGGACGCCTGCTCCAGCTCCAACTGTCCCTCTTCATACTGGTCAAAGTGATTCCCACCCTAAATGACACACATTTAAAAGCTTATTTTAGAAATATATAATTTAGTCCTGCTTGATAGGTGGCAGAGCTGAAACAATTAATCAGTTGACAGAAAAATAATCAGTATTGGTTAAGGATTTTCTGCTTTTCTCTGCCTTATGTTACAGTAAACAAAAATATCTGTGGGTATTTTGAGCATTGGTTGGACATAAAAAGCAATTTAAAGACATGTGGAAATTTGTAATGAACATTTTTCAGAATTTTCTGACATTTTAAAGAACAAAAACGATTAATAAAATAATCAGCACATTAATATATATTAAAAATATGTCGTTGCAGCACATATTGGTAGTAATCACACAAAGAGTTCCTGAAGAAAGATCCAACACTTGTTTAAACCCCATCAAAATTAGCATTTTAAAACATGACACTGACTGAGTTTATTTTAATCTGAGAAGGCGGTACAAGGAGGCATGCCTGCTGCTGTAATTTGCACTGAATTATAGTCAAATCACATAGAAGAGAAGGACTGGAAAAAGTTGTAGTGGCTATATTACCCAGAGCACAAGATAGCATGATCATCAAGAACCAAACTGAAGTCAGTATCTCAACCAGTGCCGGAATGATACAGATGTGATCAACCAATACATCCATAAACTAGATGTGTGCAAAAAACATGCATTACATAAATATACCATTGACTGTAAATAAAGACATATTTATGTATATACAATATATTGAAAACATACAGTGAAACATCTCCATAAATTGCAGCACATATGCTAAACAGAATCCAGAGGATAAAAATAAACACTTGCTAAGTTTATTTAAAGCCACGATTAAAAATTGACTTGACATACTTAATTTCTATCTCTTTATTTCTTGTTAAATTTATTACAGCAGTGTCAGCAGTGAAGAAAGACTTTCTCCTCAGGCTATTTGTTGTTTGAATTACAAGCATATCTTTACTTATTCAAATTGGGCATTTATGTTTAAGTCCATGCCCTGGGTGGGACAGAGAGTGAGTAATGGGCTCGCTACCTCAACCAAATGGAGTGTGTTTATAGAGCAGTTTCTGTCCTGAGACAGCTGGCTTCCTCTCTTTAGCAGCAGAGGAGAAAAGGTCGTGTTTGTGAGTCCGTTTTCTCCTGATGTTTACACAAGCAGAAAACTGAAAGATTCCAAAAATAGTCCATGTTATTATATTATTTTTCTAGCTGCTTGCAGCTACTAGAAGTAGGGCATGTATAGACAACTACATCTAACACAACTGCACACAAAATATATCACAGAGTGAGTTTTTCATTCATCTTTGCTGTAAAAAGACAATGCTAACATTTGCTGGGCCATGCAAGAGGCTTTATCCCCCACATTCTCTGGGGGAATGCGGTTTTGCAGAGATAAGAAATTGCTCAAATCGGCACACAATAATGAGGTGATATGATGCCACACTTAATTCAGATCAAACAGGACCACTCATGAGCATAAGTGAAGATGTAGAGGTTGGGCAAAGGACTTATTTACGAACAAATCGATGGCTCCCTGCTCTGCCCACACAACATCTCTCCTCCTCCTGACTTTGTGCTCAGACCACTTAATGTGCTATCAGCATGGCCCCCACACACCGCAGTGACTTCTTATTTTAATTTCTGCTTGCTTCCTCAACACCCTAGCTCTGGAACACAAACTGCCCAGCAATGCTGCACAGAAATGACACATTCACTTAGTCCTCTGATATACATTAAAAGAGTAAATTACCATTTGTTCTACAACATTGGAATGGATGCAAATGGATGCGAGAGTGCTACTGCTGGCCAGCTCTGTGGACGCTCATAAACTGCCTCGTGTGTTTCTGCAACACAAGCTTAGCAGCATGCTAGATTTTCTACAACAATGCAAATCAATAAAGCAGACAGAGCTGTCGGTGACTGGTTGTGCTTTAGATATTAGATAGACCATCTGTGGGTGTTTACTGCGCTGTGTTGCTTGGCAGCAGGCTTTAATCTATGGAGTCAGAGAGAAACTTTCTGAATACTGAGCATATGAACGCCTTCCCAGCAGATCTCGCAAACAGAGCTCCACTGTGCTGAGCCAGAGCTGCCCCTCAACTGACTCATTCAGACCACACAGCAATTCACCTCTTACTGACAAAACAGCAGAATACGGAGTTCCCACTGGACACTGAAACAGTGGGTATAGATGGAAATACACAAGCAATTCACAAACTGTTTCTTATACACATGTGTAAACTTTTAATGGGTTTCATAGCATGTCCGGTACTTCACCTACTTCGTCACATCATTCATCATCTACAGTAAATAGCTGAATACATCCAAAACAAACAGCTAAAGCAATTGCAGCAATGTTTAAGATTATTCTCTCCGATAGCAAAAGGTCCCATATTTCATGAACCAAAAAGCCTTTAAGTCGAACTTCGCTTGCTTCACTGTCCTTGTTCAAAAACAGAACAAAATGCTGTCAGCAATATGTAAGGAAGAGTGGCCGGGTTGTACTTCAAATTATTCATGCAAGCCCTTTTCTCTGACCCTGGACATCAATGTTTATACAGCAACTTTCCTCTTCCTTCACAAACCACTGGGAAAAAGCACACAAGGTCACACAGATGAGAAAATGCACCAAATTTGGTCACCAAATATCTTTACTATCTAGTAATTATCCTCACATTCATAGTGACGTATATGGTTTATAAAATAACATGATGATGACACCACAACCTTTCTTACTGGAGAATGATGACGTATGAAAGGAAAAATGTTTTGAAAATGTTAGATAAATGACACCTGTGCTGCATAACTAAGCACATGCATTAAGAAACAGCCTCCATTCAATCCCACAACTCTTGAGTGAAGTTTGAACCTAGCTTTATTTGATAAAACCACTCCAAATTACTGCAAAACACTGTACTGCAGATATTAAGAAGAGAGGGATTGAGACACATTAACTTGCTTCTGAGACAACATGTGCAGCAGAATGACATCTGGTAAAACCATTACTTAAAACTGTATGGCTTGTACCTGCAGATCAGCCAGTAACAAGTATGTCAAAGAATTAAAAACTTGTTAGGTGGCTTAAAAATATGGTGGGATACAAAGTATGACTAATGCTTGGGAGAGAAGGAAGATTATAACGCCATATGAGGGATTACAAAGAAAATAAGTGTGATGAATGATTGATAAAAAAAAACTACAAATATGGATTAATCTTATTTTCTAGTCTGGTCAGTAATGTTGTGTTTGGCTTCTACTGGGTGTGGTCTTTGATCACTGATAGGCAAGTGAAAGACAAACAGCTCATCTATGGGTTATGAAATTCAGCAACTCAGCTCTGGCACTAATGTTGCAAATATACAACCTGAAACATTGTCATGTCGCAAAAAATGTTATTAATGTGATGTAGGGACAGATTTATTGGTATTACTAATGAATAGCTTCACACAGCTGAAGCAAAATAAGAACCCCTTGTTACCATCTTGTGCGTCCATCCTACTTTTGTTTCCAGTGAAGAATTAATTTAATTCGCATTACAGAAACAAACAAAATCAAGTGAAGTAAATCTGTCTGGCAACGTCACAACCACAACAACGAGCTTATTCACGCTTTTATAAGGAGGAAATTCAGCAAATGACATGTTGTTTATCTGAAATCTATCGATAACTACTCTACTTCAAACGCATTTAAATAAACAGATATTTAGAGGTAATTTCATGTAATATCATTAAATGACTGGACCAACAGATAGCTGACTGTAACTCGGTTAATTTCAACGTGCTAACTAGCGTCATTGGTTGTATTCTAGTTATCAAAATGATACAGCCATTTCTTGCTAGTGCTAATATTGCCCAATGTGCGTACGCGTTAGCTATCTGCTAGCTAGCTATGCATCGTTAGCATATGTCGATAAATAACCAGTCTACCCAAGGTCACTAACAAGCTAGTTGGACTTCACTAGCTATTATTGTTGCATGGTTAAGATGCTTGCGTGGTACTGTGCTTAATGTTACAGCTCAAAACCAACAATAGGAGTCAAATTTAGCACGCAGCCAAACGTCAGGGAAGTTAAATTCAAAAGAGACGCAGTGCACTAGCCTTATTCACTAGTGTTAGCTTGGTTAGCTTGCAGTGCTAGCAAGCGATATCTACACCGAAATGCACGATGCAGTTTGTAATAATTCTTAGCCGTCCGTGACGATTTATTCCGTATTTGTATGATAAAACATCTAGACATTGTAAAATATATGCACTCCGTCAATTGTCTAACATGGATTACCTGGAAATCACGGTCTTCGTTGAACCTAGAAAATCTGTCGGCCATTTTCTTCACACAGCAGCAGCTTCTCTGCTCGCTCCGTCTGTGTCCGACAGAAGCGCGCTGTAGTGGTGCTGTGCACTTCGCAAACGATTCGGTCCTTGTGAGTTGACCTTACACAACAATTTCCACCAAGATGTTACAGCGTTACCTTTGGGAATTTAGTTAAGCCACCTTGATGCTGTAATGTATGTAGATAACATGTATCAGCATATTTCACTTTACACAAAGCTTTGTTTACTGTGCTGACAAAACTGCAGTTTTGTAGTAAAAATTATGGATGTAGCCAAGACTGGATTACACACTAACGTTATTCCACAAAAGTATCTATTTCACTTGATTTCAATTGTGAAATTAATTGAAAACGTGCACCAGTAAAGCATATCACTGATGCATTATTAGTTAATCATGTGGTCCTGTCTTGTTGAGGGGCAATGTTTCACAATGTAGTTTTAAGTCCTTTATTATTGTATTGTGTTTATGTTGTGCTCATATTTATTCAAATGCTGGTATTAAAATAAGGCCAAATGTATGGCCTAAGTTAAGATAAGTAAACCCAACACAATATAAATACTTAATTACAAGTAAAGGTCCTGCATTCAAAATGTCACAATAGCATTAGCTAAATGTACTCAAAAGTAAAAGTTGCCTATTCGCTTGTCAGAATGGGCCCTGTCAGTGTTATATCAGTAGCCTATAGGCTATTAGTATTATTATTGATGCATAAAGGTGCTCATTTTAAATGCTTTATAAACTTTTGGGTAGCTAAATCTATAGTACAGCATCATGTTTTAATTTCATACACTAATCATGTGTTTTGTTGTAATATCTTGATCTGAAAAGTAACTAGTAACTGTTGAGTACAAAGTACAGTATTTCCATCTGAAATGTAATGGAGTAGAAGTATAAATACTCAGCTTGAGTATAGTACTTGAGTAAATGCACATAAATTACATTTCACTGCTGCTCAAATTACAACAAAGTAACTGACAGGTCTATAACTTGGTGACAGGTGGTATCGTATTATTCTAGCATTTTATTAAATTATTTCATACTATTGACCATATGAAACAGTAAACATCAATAAAGATTTTGATATATAGATCTGGTTGGTGTCTGTGTCATATAATGAAGTACCAGTGTGGAGTCTGTTGTGTGCACTAAAATTGTACTTCAATGGTACTTCATAAATTGTATACACAATGCATAGTGGATGAAAAGTAGGGGGTGGGGAGTCAGTGTAAAAGGATTTAATTTAATCTGGCTATGGATGTATGCATCATAATACAATGGAAATAGTTATTTATGGATAATAAGAGATAGGCATTTTTGCAACAGCCTAAGAACATTTGTAGTGTACATGCTACTGATGACATATTTGCTTGTTTGGTGTGCTTTCCTGAAAAAGTGGGCAGGGGGTCAGGAGGTTTGAAATTTTCTCACACTAGGGCAGCACAATGAGTGAGTTTGTTGTTCATCGGGGAATCCTGCCCCATCATTTCTTTAGGCCAAATGAGTTCAAATGTGCCTAATCAAAACGGGAGACAGATTTTGATAACTGGTCAAACTGGGGGACGAGTCGAGTAGCTGTGATGGTATGACTACAAGAGAATGATTTCCCTTAGTATCAGATCTGTTGTTTCCATATTTTCTCCTCCAAACAAATGCTTGCCAGGAACAAATGGCAGAGTGTTTTCTGCTCGTGTACTTGCTTTGTTCAAACAAAATACTTCCTTAGTTTGATTTGAGAATCTCTTGGCTTTTGTTCACACAAGTGTAATGACAGGAAGCTATCCAGAGATTTTTTTGGTATTGAAAAAAACGGAAACTATCCTCTTTGTTCTCTATTCACACATGACACAGACTTAGAACACATAGCACATTTCTGGATGAAGCTGCTTAAACAACTTTCAGCAGTGGAGAAAGAAGTATTCAGATTATTTACTTAAGCAAAAGTAGCAATATTGCCGTAAAAAATACTAAAAAGTCCTTAAGTCACTTACTTAATGTATCTAAGTAAGTAAGTACTTATAATGCGGAGTGAAAACTGTCATTATGTGATGTTGTTATGTTATTGGATCAATATTGATGTATTATATGTAAACTGAACTTTAATGTTGTCGTTGGTCAAGGTGGAGTATTAATGGATCATATTTTACAAACTGATCATGTGTTCAGTTTGTAAAATCTTCATTTGTATTAACTATAACTCTTAAATAAATGTAGTGAAAAGTAGAACATTTCTGTTTGAGATGTGGTGAAGTCGAAGCATTAAGTAGCATTAAATGGAAATACTGAACTAAAGTACAAGTACCTCAAAATTGAGTAAATGTACTTAGTTACTTTCAGCCGCTAACTTTCAGTATGTCCATATTGATGTAAGAAACAGAGATCTATTTCAGTCCAGTGTTTATGCAACTCTTGTCAACATTGATGGACTAAGTAAAGGCAGGTTAAAACCAGGTCATTGTCATACTTTGTCTATGTATATTTTTTGTTCATATTTTGTTGAGATTTGCAAATTTGCACAATTTAGTCACATCTTACTTCAAAATCACAGGATATGAACATCAGTCCTAAACTCAACAATTGAATGAAAAACACCAAAATTGCTAATTAATTAAATTGTAATATAATATTACATTACATTATATGTAATGTAATATAATTACCTTAGCTTGCTGCCTATAACGTTAAATGTAAATGTAGTTAATGATATCAGTACGTGTGTTGAAGCCATAAACTGAAGCAGAAAAGCCTTTACCCAGTAGTTTATGACTCCATCTTGTGGTGAATCTGTGTCAATACAGATGACAAAACTACAGTACTTTAAAAATCGTTATCATTAGCCAATAAGAACAGGAAGAAAACAACACCTGAAAAATGGAAGACAATCAGGAGGATGGAAAATTGGACGGAAAACAAAAAATAGAACATTAATAAAGCATGTTTCTGCAAATTATTTGAGCACTGTTACTTGAAAAGTATCTTCAGTTTTCACACCTTATGATAATTTCCTTCTCTTTTTCTTCAGAAAAATTATTCCATATACAAAAAAACATGGCTTTGAATTTTCACATATTACAAAAAGGACCAAGTGCATATCAAAAGATAGGGAAAAACAAACAAACAAAAAAGGAGAGAAAAGGAAATTAAATAAAAAGGAAAAGGCTAGGGCTTTTTAATCAAATCATATTCTGCTATAACACTAAAAAGTCTCTTTGCATTTTTCGATTGCATGACATTAAGGGCTTTTGTAAAGGAAGAAAACTCGTTATGAAATACACAAAACTTAGGTTTCACTTTCAAAAACTTGGATTTGTGAATATAAATTTTCCCAAGAATGACAATGTTATTAATCAGAAAGTCGTCTTTGTTGTTGTCCCTGACACAACCATGTCCTTCAGAGAAAAGCTCTTGAGATGGAAAACCTTTGGGTAAAGCCAGTTTCCAACAGATTGGCAACGTAACTGTGGCGGGGGAGCGGGGCTCTCCTTATTAGCTAGGCTCCTCCTTACATGCTGTTTTGAAGGTGTGTCTACGACATTGACAGCGTTGTGTTGGGCAGATTTGTGCAGCAGTGTTTATGATACCAATCATTCAGTTCACAGACGGGTCTGTTGTCCGTGTTTGCGAGAGAGAGCGACCGAGTGAGAGGATGTGCGGAGCGAATGTGCGCTCGCGGCGCAGAGCTGCAATCAAGAACGGTTTTAAAATGAGTCGCCAAATTTACCTGGGCGCCTGTTAATCTACCTGGGCGGCCCGCCCAAGTAAAGCCTATGTATGGGAAACACTGTATTAAGCCATAAGGCTTTAGAATATATACAATGGAAAAATAAATGAACAGTAGTTTCATTGTCATAACAAAATACACAATTATTGGTTTCTATTCCAAAACGCTGCCGTAACAGTCACTGAATGGATACACACCATTTAAAAATTGATGTATTATATGTAAACTCCTTGTTGGTCAAGGTGGAGTATTAATGGATCATATTTTACAAACTGATCATGTGTTCAGTTTGTAAAATCTTCATTTGTATTAACTATAACTCTTAAATAAATGTAGTGAAAAGTAGAACATTTCTGTTTGAGATGTGGTGAAGTCGAAGCATTAAGTAGCATTAAATGGAAATACTGAACTAAAGTACAAGTACCTCAAAATTGAGTAAATGTACTTAGTTACTTTCAGCCGCTAACTTTCAGTATGTCCATATTGATGTAAGAAACAGAGATCTATTTCAGTCCAGTGTTTATGCAACTGTTGTCAACATTGATGGACTAAGTAAAGGCAGGTTAAAACCAGGTCATTGTCATACTTTGTCTATGTATATTTTTTGTTCATATTTTGTTGAGATTAGCAAATTTGCTCAATTTAGTCACATCTTACTTCAAAATCACAGGATATGAACATCAGTCCTAAACTCAACAATTGAATGAAAAACACCAAAAGACACCAATTGCTAATTAATTAAATTGTAATATAATATTATATTACATTATAAGTAAAATGTACAAAATGTACAAAATGTATTTCTTTGGCTTTGGGAAAAATAGGGAATTTTAAATATTTGGTTCGTAACGAGTGAATAGTACATTTCGAGTTGAATTGGGAATGAGTTTCTGAAGGATATTGTAGGGTATGGGAACCATAGACTGTATATAAAAATATGGGAACTCATCGCATAAAAAACTGGCGCATGCAGGAAGTTTAGCCATTTCAACTTCAAAATAAAAGCTTTATCGGCACTTACTAAAAATGCATCTATATTACTAGAGCGCAAGCTGCAACAAAAAAATATCAAAACATTACATTACTAATAATATTAACGCCAAGCCTATTTTTTATCTTGTTATTTTGAATACCATTATAGTAATATTAAGGGAAGCTTATATCTACTTTGACAGAAATAACCGGAAGCCATCATTCTAGCTAGAAACCGATCTGATCACCATCGGCCGACGCCTTCTAATTGAAAGCTCGGTAAGTAAAGAGTCTACTGTACATATTATTTCTCATTAAATTAAATAGTTTAGCTAGTGACACAGGTGTCCGACCTAAGTCGTTTCTTCGCTCTTTTGAGGCAGCTTTTTTATATCCAAAAGTTCGACTTCTCAACGAATGGGAAAAACATGTCGGTGAGTGTGGCTACAAGGAAGTTATTGTTTTCAGTACAGGGAGAGCGCGTACACACTCGAAGAAGAATAACACAGCTAACGGTGATATATGATATATTTATATGGTTATATGTTGCCAATTTATTGACAATAGCTAAAAACAACAAAGGTCGGCCCAATAAAATGTAGGCTGCTGTTACTGTAAGTTTGGTCAGGACGTTACAGATCACCAAACTTTTTCAAAACCGCACATACGCCTGTTGAAGCCAGATGTCTGTGATTAAAACAACTGTTGCACTCCAGCTTGTACGTTTTCCAGTGCTAACGTTACTAGCTGAAGATAAACCAATTGGCCTATTAAAATCTGAAAATAATGCAAGTAGATACAAACAGTACATTCTTAGCTCCAAGTTACACATGCAACACGTAAGAAAACAAGAAAAAGGTGTGATTTTTCATATGTTTAGCTTTACTAATTACTAATTGTACCTACTTTTCCGGCTATCATGTTCCGGTACGCTATCATGTTAATTTCATGTTGTCCAATATTATAATATTTGTTGTTATGCCATTATCAGATCATATCTGCCTGATTGGTATATTTAACAGTAAACCATTATTAGTTCATGTCTACCAGATTTATATTGTAGTTCGTCACACTTGACATTAACTGCATAAGTTTAGTCCTAGTTCTGCTGCTTCTCACACATTGCACAAATGCATGCATCCATTCTTGGCCCAGAGTCAAACTCCTGGCATGCATTTACAGCTAAGCAATGGTGGCCTGGGTCCATCATTGAATAACAAAACCAATGGTGTCCTATTCTCCTTTCCTCTGCAACATAGAGAGAAAGTGAAAGTGGAGAAAAGACATTATATAAAGTCTGTTCACTACATACAAAGTAGGCTGCCACTCCTGTGCACTCCTATACCATAGAGTAATGGTAATAGAGTAATTCACTGCATAGCTATATTAGACTACGGTGTAGTCTAACATAGTATACAATATGTAAAATACATGCCAGATTACAAGTTATACATGACTGAAATTACACCAGTGTTACAGTTTAGAATTTCACCATCATTCATGTAATTTGGTGTTAAAATATGTGAATTATTCCAATTAGTGTGTTTCTGATTTTGTCATTTGTCTTAATATCCTGGCATTTACAATAGTGATATTGGAGGGGGATACATGCTTTTTGATGAATTTTCAAGTTATTATGTTGAATGAATGGCTGCAACTAATGATTATTTTCATTATAAGTTATAAGACCATTGTTTTCAAAGTTCAAGGTGACGTCTTCAAATGTCTTGTTTTGTTTGACAACAGTTCATAGCCCAAATATATATTCAGTTTACAATGATATAAAACAGATAATTGTCAAGGGAATTGATTATTTCAAATATCGACAATTAATGCACAGAACGTGATCAGTTGAATGGAAATTGGTAGAAAACGTTGGAAACAGAGGACTCTACAAAATGTGTGCACCCAAGTGAATATTGTTTTTTTACTGTCGGGACACACATTTCTTCATTTCAGCTAATAATGATGAAGTAACAGTGAAAAGGGAAGTGACACAGAGAGGTGTGACTGGTCAGTCTGAGTGCAACTTTAAGTCATATGGTGTCTTAAACACTATGGACAAAGTAGTCAAAGACTGGGACATTTTCCTGAGAAGCAGCCGATGTTCCTTGCTTGGCTGTATGTTCTCTGTGGCCGACTTCAGAGTGAGTCCCTTTTCCCCATCCTTACTAAAGGCATTGGAATTTCATTAATCTGTGTGGGTGTACAGCAGAAGTTGGCTCAATATAGCTACTGACTGTATGTGGAGTTAATCTCAGGATTTCTCTGCAACATTAGAATACAATAAATTGTTCAACTTCATATTTAAGACTTAAGGTTATTGTGTGTTATGAGTTTATTAGGTACCCATGTCCAATCTCATGTAATCCAATGCAATAGCCCATAATAATTGCTATCTCTGTGAATGAAGCTTGCAGTTGTTCAGTTCCTGTTGACACTGTCAGAGAGGTGTAGGTTCAGCGTGATTGTAAATTTCAAGGCAGTAGTTAGTGATTGTATTGTATTGCATTTAGAACTGAAACAACTGATTATGATCTCCAAAGAACATTCTTTGACGTTATGTAATTTTAAGTTGAATATCTTTTTTCTTTCAGACAAAATAAGCTATTTGTAGACATTACTTTGGACTTTAGGAGCTGTAATTAATGATTATTTTCGTTACTGGGTATCATTCTCTCAATTAATCTATTAATTAATTAGTCTTTACTTTAGAATGCCAGCAAGTTCATCACAATTTCTCACAGCCCGAAAAAAAATCATATTTGAGAAACTTTAAAAATGACTTGATTGCTTAATGAATGATTAAGCATTAATCAGAGTAATTTCAGATTAATTTCCTGTTGATCGATTAGTCATTTCAGTGCTAGGCCAAACCACCATAATTGAGGAAATGATCAATGACAATAATTGTTAGTTGCATCCCTAACAGCATTATCTTAGTTTTATATGTTGTTTGTGATTTGAGACCATTTCTTGGCTATGGTTCATGGCGGAGCCTCTCAAATGGTATTCTGAATTTCCTGTGTTCTGAAAGGAAGAGCAAGCGAGATTCTTTCAGATAGCCAGATAAAACACCTCACATTTCAAGTGACAGCTCATATGCTCGCTCCAAATTCTCTTGCTCGCAAATATTTTCTACAAGATACAATTAATATCAGATCCCATTTTGACAGACAGACGTTTGGTCTGTATTGTTGTTGTTCTTTTTCAACATATAATGGAGAGTGTGTGGGCGTGTGACATGACATGTGTCATATATATGTTAGTTGGCCACAGGGCACATGCTCATTAGGATGTCAGAGGACTTGAAAGGTCACAAAATGCCGACATTTCATTTAGTTTTGTGGGTTCGTGCAGAAGGTCAGAAACTCATCCCAAATTACAGTTAACAACATGCTCATAGTGATGTGACAGTTCTGTGGTGTTTTTGACTTTATTAAATTCAAATTCAAATCAGCTTTATTGGCATGAATATATAACAACAATATTGCCATTAGCAAACATTTATTTGTCCATATTCTACTTTTAATTTGTTTTTGATGCTATGCTGTAAAGATTACAGCCATTGTTAATTCTTTTCAGAGTAAAACCTGAGTATATCTGACTAGGCGTAGGCCACGGAGATCTGGTGTTCTGCTTCATCAAAAGTATAACCAAACTTGTTATCCTTTAATCTAGTCAGAGGGAAGCGCAGTAAGTTGGTGGGAGAGGAGGGAGGGGGAATATGGGGAAGTGGAGAAGCATTTCCCATAAGTCATTGTCAGCCCGCTCCTCCCCCCCAGTTGGCTGAGAGCCAGCATCATGCAGAGCACTGAGCAGAGCCGGAGCTGAGACATTACTGAGAATCAGGGCATGGAGGACGAGGCAGACCACAGCACCTAGTTTTACTAATGTAGTTGACAGTCTATTCAGAGCGGCTACACGAGAGAGAGAGAGAGCAGTCCAGACTGGCATCTTTCGGTACGTGTACGCACCCCTGGGCCTCACACATACAGAGTTGTTTTTGTGGTTGTGTTTATTGCAGTGGGTTTTTCTCCATTTCCTTTCCACGTATATTCATTGGGGTGTGGTGTGCTGCAGTGCTTTCAGCACCGGTGTGGCGTCTTAAGAAGGAAGTGACAGTTGAATTGCTTTGTTCTAGATAATCTTGCAGTGCATGAAGTCGGCACATAAGGTAATGTCGCTACTAAACTTAAATAGCTTTTATTGAAATTTGACTACTGTTTGATGTAAGTTTACTTTAGTATTACTTGTGTTAGTAACTTGTTAGTATTGTCAATATGCAAAAATGGCTCTGGAACGTTTTTGGCAGCCATGCGATTATTTTAACATCTCAGGATTAATCCTGGTGCAACCTCTATCAAGAATGTATATGTGCAGTTAGCTGAGTGACAGGGAGAAGCTTCGGTTAAGTGTCATGGACACACTGACGCAACATGCTGCAACTCAGTTCTAAGTCTGAACCTTTTGAAACTGCATTTAATGCATAGAACCAGTGCTGAGAGGAAAATGACTGTGGCAATTTTACAGTTATATATTTTGTGACAATTATAACCCCCAAGCCATCGGCAGTCAATTGTTCAAATCTTTATTGGAAATTCAGCTCGGCTGTGCCTAATGTGCTGTAGTTACACTTCCTCTGACTGAAACAGAGGACTTGCATTCAACGACACAGTTGCAACTGTCAAAACAAGGCCAGGGTTGCGTTTCCTGTCTCATCTGCCCACCGCAAACTTTCAGAGTTTCAGTTTATTTCAGTTTGTTTCAGGTCAAGTGATCATTGTGATCCTGAACTTGCTTGACAAAGTCAAATATGTTAACCTTTAGCTAAGCTATAAAGAAGCTGATTAATACATAACTACAGTACAAAGTCTGTCATTGTTGCATTGAAGAGAGTGTATATTTCTTTTGACAGAAGTAAACATTTCATCTTAAGTTGAGTCAAGTTTATGAGCTCTCTGCTACAATTGGTGATCCCGAAAATAACAGAATGAAATATTTGTCAGTCAGGCTAAAATAAACACATAAAACATTGAGAACTCAATTAATCAAATGAAAAAGAAAGTTAGGGATTAGTAGAACATTTAACTTGAAAATGAGACATTTATTTGGTTATAAACGTCTTTTCATTTTGAAAAGTCTCATCAATGAAACACAGCCATCATGTCTTCAGTCAACTCTAAAAACATATCTGATCAGTTTCTTTCAGAGACACAAATTGAGAATTGAGGGTTTCCACCAAGATTTCAGAAAAGAGGTTCATGCGCATGTGATCAGTTTTTATACAAATAATACTTATTTGACATTAATGTTGTTATTTGGACAATTGGAAAGAAAGCACTTTTACTTATCAGTCAGTTATGATGTTCTCTCTTTCCAGATCCAGCAGATGAAATGGCTGTGAGGCAAAGGATTTTTAACTCAACATCACCGTTCTCCGGGTCATCCCAGTCTGAGCTGAAGGGGTCATACCCGGCATGCTCAGCTTCAGACCAGGAGACGGAGGATGAGGAAGAGGAGGGGAAGGACTTCAAAATGGACTACATAGCCTGTTTAAACCCTTTAATAAATAAACTCCTGACACGTGGGACTGCAGAGCAAGTGGGAGAAATGCCATTGAAGACATCAACCTTCATTGCCCAAGCTGAATGTAATTATGTCTTTTTGATAAAAAAAGAATCACATAACTGTGCATGGACAGATAATCTAACATGAACACTGTGCTCTCCTCAGGTGAAACCCAGGACTCCCAAGAATTCAGTCCATCCGGTTTTGAACGTTCCTTTGTTCCCTCCCCTAACTGCTTCACCAGCAGGTATGACATTACCATGACATACACACGACATTGTTTCTGCATTTCACACTTCATTTTCTCAGTATGAAAATTGCAATGAGATAACTCCTGTTATTAATTGGCGCTATATAAATAAATTTGAATTGAATATTTGTTCACAAAGGCTATACTGAATTGTTTAATGCCATGTCTGGAATTTACATTGTTGCCGTACTTCTGCTTCAGTCTTTCCTCAGAGCACAACAATGTGGCGTGCCCGACCACAGCCTCCATCCAGGAGCCAAACAGTTCATCAGCACAGTTCTCCCCAAGAAAGAAAACCAGGAAGAGACAGAAGCGCAAGGGGAAGAAAAAACTGGAGAAGAAGAAAGAGAAGCAGCGACTCAGACATCGAATGCGCTCTGGTGTTCCTGAGCAGGAGAGTGGAAGTTCTTTGGTCCAGATCCTGGTAAGAACATCTTCACATCTCTTTGAGTCTTGCATGTGAAATAGCTATTCACACTGCCATTAAGAAGTAGGCTGGTACATAGTATACTCTTGTATCCTTAAACGAACTGAGCGTGCTTGCAGTGTTTTCTTTGTGAGTCATCTTCTAGTATAAATTGCCACATTCTTTGGTAGAGGCTCGATCTCTAGACATTTCTGTGCAAACATTCAGTGGAAGTGAATCACTGAATTCAGACAAAGCTGCCTCTCATGGCCTTAAATGATTAACCCCTAAACAAACTCACCTGAGAATGTAAACATCAGTCTGATCAATCCTGCTTTTTTGGTTGTCTCCTGTAGGAGGAGTCGTCTCTTACTTCTTGCTGTAGCAGCATTGAAAGCACAGAAGAGCAGGACAGAGGGCCGTCTCTCTACAGCAGACCGATCTACAACACAGTCTCCAGCTGCTCTCCTCTGAACTGGAGGGATGAGGTCTGCGGCCCCCTCTCCACTTTCCATTCCTATGGGCAGGACAGCGACTCAGACTCCCTCAGCAGTCTGGGAGACTGTTCGCTGGCCCTTGCTGGCCTCAGGGGCAGCGTTAGTCAGGGGGACCCGTGCTACGCACACCCCTTTTTCAAAGAGGTGGAGTGTGATGCAAGAGAAGAGGAAGATGAGTTCTCAGGAGCTGATTCTATCAGCAATGAGGGAATAATCTTTTATAACGACGTACGTTCTGCTTTACGTCAGTCTACTTCCTGTCTTCTGTCTTGGTTTAAAATGTGGTTCCACCAAACTAACTTGTTTCTCTCTTATTCTATCAGAAAATCCAGCCTGTGGACTCTGAATACAAGGAAGGAAGAGAGTATGTCCTCTCACATTTCATCAAGGAAGGCTCCTATGGTGAAGTACACAGTGCTAAAGATGTCAACACAGGCTTCAAATTTGCTGTCAAAAAGGTAACTCCATCCCCTCCAGTTTTTTCCACTGCCTGGTTTCAAAGTGTGCTCTGATTGCTGACTCTTTTGTCCATGCTTTTCCTCACAGATCGCCTTGAAGAGGTTCAGCAGTGAGGAGGTGGGTGCGTGGAGTGCCCTCAGATCTCCTCGTGTGGTGGAACTCTTTGGAGTGGTCAGAGAGGGGCCCAATGTTTTCCTTTTCATGGACCAAAAATCTGGTAAACAAGCGTCACTTGTGCCTTTCTCTCTCTCTCTCTCTCTCACACACACACACACACACACACACACACACACACACACACACACACACACACACACACACACACACACACACACACTTTGTCAGTACTTAATGCTGCTGCTGTTTAGATCGAGGGTTATACTTGAAGTTGTTTAGGTGAGATGTGATCATGTTAAGAGCAAACACATGTACAGTAGGTGCAACATTAGGATAATAAAGATTACATAAATACGGATGTGATTAGTGTCGGGATGTGGAAGTGGGTGGTTCTGGGGTGCCAGAAATGACTGTTGGAGCTTCCTTGAAGTTATGGTCCAACTCAGACTAAACATCTGTGGTGGGATGTGCCTGTTTGATAAACACAATGACATATCTCACACTTTTCAAATTCCAGGCCATAATAGAAGGAATCAGAAATGTGTATTAGTAAATATTAATGTGGTCTTTATGCTGGTCCTTACCTGTTATTCCAGGCTCCCTGGGCCAGCTGTTAGTGGACCGCGGACGGCTGCCAGAGGACCTAAGTCTCCACTACCACTTGCAAGTCTCAACTGCTCTGGAGTACTTGGGGAAGAAAAAAGTTGTGCATCTAGACATTAAAGGTATGTTATATATGAAGGATGTTTTGCCAATTTCTTTTTCACATATTTAAATGTTTACTAATGCTCAAATATCATCTGTGTTATACTAAAAAGTAAAAACACAAATGGTGACACCAACTGATTTGAACTCTTGAATGTGTATTTTTTAGCCACAATTAAGGGGCAATAACTAAAGTCATAACTAAAATACACAGTTTTATAAAGACAACACACTAAGTGTACCCTCATATTAACCATCATCGTTAGTTTATTCGAGACAAGCAATCAAAAGTATTTGAGTAACAAATCTTTTATTGTCTAATGCAACAGAAAAACATTTTCTGATTTCTGAATTATCTAAGTTATGAATGTAAATGTCGGCCCATAAGCACTTTCAGGATGAATTTTACAGCAGTAAACTGACAGATCAAAGTAACAGTAATAACAGTAAAACTAAATGTGTCAGCTTGACTTCTACTTGTTGTGGTAACTAGTGGAAAACAAAAACATACAGAGAAAGTCAGATTTCAAATTAGTTCTCATCAGAGGATTTTGTCTTTGTGCAGCTGTTGTGTGGAACACAAGTGTCATAGATACACAGATCAAGCACCTGTGTTGTGAAACCAGACTACCAGAAGACAGGCTGGGAATTTCCCACAGTGTGACTCACGCTGCTTTTTAGAAACGGCGCATGTGCACAGAATCAGGAGTTAAGAAAGGGAGAACGAAACAGAGAGGGGGGATGGGACGAGGCAAGCAGGAAGTAGATAGAGACAAAAGTGAGAGAAAATAAAGTACAGATCGAGACAGTTAAGACCAAATAAAGGCAGAAGATGAAAATAAAATGGAAAAACGAATATCAAAAAGAAGGAAAGAGAAAAACTGGAAGGAAACTAAGTTAGAGGAAGAGCAAAAACAGACCTAAGCTTATGGACAAACAGCATGATTATGCTGTTGCAGCTCAGACGCCACCTGGTGTCTGTCAGGAAAAGCAAGGCATTCATTCCACATTAAAGTGTTTTCTACAGCAGCTGTCCCCCTATGACCTCATATTTCCCTTTTATTTTGCTCCTTTGACTGTTTTCTGTCTGTGCAGCTGCCCTGTTTCTAATTATGTAATCCATAAACTATACTGCGCAAGTCATGGAAATCAACCAGGTGCCATTGAGAGAACTGGGGAATGTCAAGATTAATGCAGTGGATTATTATTTCCCACAGCTGACAATGTGTTGCTGTCGGAGGACGGTAGAGACACTTTCCTATGTGACTTTGGACATGCAGAGAGACTCGACAATCAGGGACTGAGCCTGAGTGGGTCCAAAGGTAAATACTGTGCAACTTTAGCGATTCACTTAAATAGATGGGAAATTTGTCCACTTCCATGTCTTAATTCATTGTTTTCCTGATGTAATTCAATGCAGATCTGAAGGGTTCAGAGACCCACATGGCCCCTGAGATTGTAAAAGTTGAACCCCGTGGAGCCAAAGCAGATGTGTGGAGCAGCTGCTGTATGTTACTTCACATGCTCAATGGCTGTCAACCTTGGACAAGATACTACACCTGTAGACTTTACCTGAAGGTATACTTCACAGCAACACACAGATTCTACACCCTGCTGTTTCCTCGCAGATGTTGAGTCTGCTCTTCACAGCATACCTTTTCGTGATGGTTACAGATTGCTAACGAGCCTCCGCCTGTGAGAGAGATCCCACCTGACTGTAGCCCTCTCACAGCTGAAGTTATCAAGGCGGGACTTCAGAAGGATCCAGTAAAGAGAGCATCAGCATCTGACCTCAAGGAAAAAACTGCCAGAGCTCTGAAAGAAGGTAACTGTATATGTACTGCACTTTTTTTGTTCATATCATTGCGAGTATTTCATCCAGGGGCATAGGTTTGGTTTCAGATGGTTTAAATCAAATGAGCAAATAAATTATTTTAATGCTATGTAAACCTCTGGAATGTAATCCCTTTTTCCTTTGAAGAGACCTGATAACTTTCTGATTAATAATGTTGTATTTGCATATTTACTACAAAAGACCTGTGCTTTACTGTTTTGCCTTAGACTTATGTCCAACATCTTTTAGGGCAACATTAACTGTAATTAAAAATATGAATGATTTTTTACCTGGAAAAAGGTAGTTTGCAGTACCTTTTTACAGCCCTGAGTAGTGTCTGCTGCCCCAACAGCCTTCACCAATAAGGTGGGGGATGGCCTGTATGTAGCCTGAGAGGCAAAATGGAGGGCAAAAGTTCAGAGAGCGGCATTAAGAAAATCAACCTGAGAATATAAAAGAGAGGGGGACATGTCCCTCCTATCCTCCAGTTGAAATTACCCCCTCGGAGGCACCATCATTTACATCTTGTAAAGACTTGATGTGTTGTGTTTGTGTATTTGCAGTGGGAGGACTCACCAGCTCAGTGAAGGGACCCTACACAGAGCCCCTGTATATTGCCAACAAACCTCCTGACTCCCTGCAACTTATCACTAGCAGCTTTGACTATGAGGATGAGGGGGAACATCAAGACTTTGTTGAAAAAGTGATCACAGCAGGGAGGAAGATGAAGGAAGTGGACGATGACAATGAAGAGGAGGCTTATTCCAATGAGTCAAAGCAAGGATCACCTTTCTGTCCACAAATGCCGATCTCTGAGTCAAACCACAAGAGGGTCAACAAGATGACCACTGTTTCTGAACTTGAGCTACGGAAACTGGAGCGAGGTGAGGTTTCTGTCAGCGCTCTGCTTATTTTTCTTGTGTTAAATGTTTGAACTCCACTCATTATTCACCTGCGTGTTTTCAGATTTCTACCTAAGCAGTCTGTCCCAGCTTCATCCCGCTGAGATGCAGGAGCAGCTATTGTCTTGTCTCAGCAGCGACCCTTATTCCAACTGGGAACCATGGGACAAAAAGGTAACCCAAAATTTGCAATTGGGTGCATCTTTAATTTACCTCAAACCATGCAGAAGGCTAACATTTGGAGTCTGATTGAAAGGTGGTAAATAAGGATCTGAGTTATCAACCAAGTCATCACTTCGTCTAATCATCGTGGTGCTACAGATGGATCCAAAAATGTTTTGCTGATACATCTCGATTTTTAAAACCATGTAGCAATCATGATGACATCATTATGATTTATTTCAGCTGTGCACTTAATCTGCATGAAAGTAATTAAATAAGGAGAGATTAATTAGAAGTGTAAAAGAATATTTATTGAGGTGTGATGTGAAACATCTCCATTTAAGCATAGAACTATATGAAGAGAGGAGGTGATGAAGGACAGGAATAAAGGCTGAAAGATCTTCCTAGCTTCAGTCTAGACCTAACCTTTTGTCTAAAACCAGTGCCAACCACTGACACCCACTCTTGCACATTACAGATAGTTATAAGCAAACTTTGTGTAGCCATCAAAGACATCTAGAAAAAACATTTGAAACAAGTTTGTTAAGGTCTGCCAAGTGTTTTTGTTGAAAACCTGTAGAAGTCATAACAGAAAAAGAATTTTTGTATTCTGTGTAAAAGGTTCAATAAATGTGACCTGTCCAAATACTTGAAGTTCCAAAATAGGGTCCATTAAACAAAGTGTTTCATTGGGGTTCATTAATTTTTGGTGAAAGTATTAACAGTTTGGCTTGTGTTGCTCTTTAAAATTGTTATTCCAGGATTCTGGCCGCTGGTCCCTGAGCTTGGGAGACGACTACAGCTCTGGTGTCTACTCTTACAACAGTCAGCCCGATGTACAGGTTTTCAGCATTGATTTGCTGAGCCACACACAGCTACCGCCACCCTGCTGCTTTGAAGGTGAGATAAAACCTCTCTTTTTTCAAACTATTTAATGTACTACCAAACATCACACATGATATAAATTGCCCTTACACACGCATCTCTCTGCTCTGTGATTGGCACAGGGGTGGATGTCTGCATCAGAGATTTCAACAGGAGAAGCATCCGCATCAGAGAGACGCGGCGTGTGAAGGTGGGCCACATCGCCACTGGAATCAGTGATCAGGTGAGGGCCAGCACACGCTCATGTGTCAAAACAGCTATTCATGTTAGTCTGTTAAAGTGTTTGTAAAGAGTGAGATTACACTAGTTTAAGGCCTATGTGTGTCCCTTTTTTTTTTTTTTTTTTTTTTAAAGATCTCTGAGAGGGTTTTCACCTTGGAAACCCAGCAGGGCCAGCAGGTTGCTCATGATGAGGAGGTGCAGGAGTCCGGTTTGGAGCTCTGCTGTGTTCCTGCTCCAGACTTCAGCTCTGCCTGGAGGTGGAGGATCAGGGAAGGAGTGCTGGAGACGAGATAGAGACCACAGCTCTCCTTCCATCGGCCGCAATGTTATCTTAACCGCTGTACATGTGGTCGTCTGTTGAATTGTCTCAATGTGAGAGGGTCCATGTTTTCATGAATGGTTTAAATGAATCTAAACCAGAACTGCCGTTTTTTTAGCAAACATGTTTTAAATGCAATGATGTTGCCGTTGTGTAGCTTTCTGTCTGTAAAGTGCTTGTTACTCTGTCAAAGCACTGAGCTTTTTTGGCTGCTCTGTTGCAGCTTTTCTTATTGCATATTTACATTGAGTCATTGAACAGTATTTGAAACTGTGTAAAGTGTGTGACACACCATTGGTCTCACTAATGTCCAGTCTGTAATACTATATTGGTTAATTAGTTCACAAGTCCACACAGTGAGTATAAACATTTCTACTGTATTTTAATAACTATATCTGGGATTTGCTTTGTCTCTCAAGAACATTGACATTTTTCTAGGTTATAAATGTAAAAAATACAAACACAATTTTAATCTGTTTACACTGCGAGCTATATCTTAAAACCAAAATTATGCCCAGCAAAAAATAAAGTCACTTGGTTGTCATGTTCATTAAGTCCTATTTGTGTTCCCACTTGTGGGAGGGCTGAAAAGATGGAGATGTCAGTCATCTGCCAAAGTTCAGAGCAAGACAAGTACTGGCTAGATTCTCATTATATTTGGTACATTAGTCCACAGAGAATGATATGTATTGATCTGATGAACCTCTGAACTTCCCTGTGTTGCCACCATGAAATTATAAAAAAAATAGTCTTACTTTAAATGACTGCAACGCCTGGATTTCCACGACATTTGTAGAGGATATTCTTGAGCCATAAAGGTCGTCGCTCAGTGATTCTAGTGATCCAACCTTTCCCTCAGTACTGTCCTCAGGCCACATTTACTACTTGTGCACAACCAATATCAATTTTTAACTAAAGAGATTACCACTACATTTAGTAAGCATATTTATGACCCCCAAAAGTTTAAGCCCTTTCCACTTTGGAGTCTCAAAAAAATCAGCATCTTCACTACCAGATTGTCATGTTATCTGCTGAGCGCATATTTACCTTATTTAAACTTTATATACTGTCCTTCAATACCTCCTACAAGACAGTTTGTATGTTTTACCCTAGTACTGTTAATGCAGTTAAACTGGAGGAGTTTGATGCTAAGGTATAGAATTTACCATGTTCACCATCTTCGTGTGTTAGCGTGGCAACCAAAGAGCCGTGCCACCCACATGGCTACAAATCACAAGTATGTAAAAATGAGTTAATTTTTTTTGGTATCCTGCTATAAGCCTGTATATAAACCTTATTCCCATAAAACTTATACATAGCCACAGTAAGAGTTAAAAGATTTATTTTCCATATTACAACTTACAAGATCACTGCAAAAAGATTTTCAGGGAGACTGGAAACTAATTTCAATTTTACAAATGTGATAGAAAAAAGGTGAAAATTTGAGATTATCAAAGTGATTTCTTAATAAGAAAAAACACCAAGGCACTGACAAACAAGAAAAAATGTATAAAAAAAACATTTTGTGTAGGTAAGATTGCAGTTTGAATTACTTACGTAAAAATACAGTACTTTGAATATGTGTGAAGTGAGGTAAGCATCTGTGAGCAATCCAGCCCCTTCTGTGTCTGCAACGGGACATCATCCACAGACCACAAGAAACACAGGTTCATGACAACCGGTTCAATACAGAAATCAGACAACATTTTCTTTTAAGTGGGATCCACATTAAGGTCACACTGCTGGCCAAAATGCCCAAAGGCAGCATGTGATTACATGTTACACAAGACAGGGCTTTAGATTCAGTTTACTGAGATCATGTGACTTTTTTTCAACACGATGATTCATGTTGAACGTAAACATAACTTTGTACAGCTACTGTGGCACTTTCAATATTCACTGAAATAAGGTTGAGCTGTGCGTTCGAGCGGATAAATTATTTGGGGGTTTTGAGCCCAAATATTATTTGAGGAGTACTTTTTCTTCATCTATATTATTTTGGTAAATTTAACCAGTGTTTGCCAAAAGATTTCTTTTTAACTCAATGGGATGTGACCACCCTCCAAAACGTTCATTGCCAGCAAATAGATAGATTTACACCAGTAAATGCTCACAAATACATATAAAGATGGGTTCTCTAGAATGTTAACACCATGTTGAGATGAATGGAGAGAGTGGGAAGATCAGAAAAGCAATCTGAGTGGAACAAAAATAAAATGACATTGATAATAATGTGGAAAGTAAACTCTTAACAAGTGTTCTGTCCATATATTTTTTAGAGCAGACAGCAGAATGCAGTGACTTTAAAAAAAATCTGTACCAAGTACAAAATAAATTACTTAAAATGCATTCCCTGTTCCAAGTCTGACAAAATTTCCAACCCCACTCCCCCTAATGTTGCACAGCTCACATCCTCAGTGGCATAGGGATCATGAGTGCATTCGTCTAACTCCCAATCCTTGGAAATGAACGGGAGAAAGAAACAAAGAGTGGCTCCTGTGTCCAAATACAATCTCTTCCTGATCTCGCTCAGTAGTTCTTTAATGTTCTTGTTCCTCTCCCCATTTCCCTCAGACGTAGTTCCTCCCATTTTTCACCTGTTTGCTCTTCATGAACCAATTCTCTGAATGACTATAACAGTGGTGAGAACACCAGCCAAGAAAACCCCCACTGTCTGCCATGTGGGTGTGCCAAAGTAGGAACGAATACCCTCCTAGAAGTTGTAAACAACAGACACAAATATTAGCATGTGTCATGCCAGAAATCAGGAGCAGAAGTGCAACTACTAAAAAATGATGAATTTGAAGTGCACTTGTTACGTAGCTACTTACCCAGCCACCTTGCTCCCGGATCCAGTTGATCACATTTTCCCGCAGGTAATCCAAAGTCCAGTTGATGATTGTTCTGATGATATCAGGAACTTTGGTCACTAGAGCCTGAGAAGGTTTGAACAGGAGATGCTTCAGATGTAAGGTATTTCCTATTGAATCATAACGCCACCATACAGATATGTCTTACTTTGTTTTGTTTTTATAAAAAGGTTAGGTACAACAGAGTCTCTTTACTCACTTTGATGACAAGTCGACAGGCAAAGTAGAACAGTGCAACCACCCTGCCCCAGTTGAATTTCCCATCTGAAAAGATCTCAATGGCAACCTTAACGAACATCTCTTTTGTGGGACTGAGTGAAGAGTTGTTTATCATACTGCAAAACAACATTATGAAATTAGGGACAAGCCAATTATACAGTTATTACCAGTTAAACTGTGTAATTCATAATATCTTAGGCCGGGAATTTGATATAACTGACACACAGACCTTTGGAGCTCTGCATTGCTATCCAGCTCATCTCCAATCTGCTGGAGGCACTGGGCAAGCTTCTTGTGGTTTGGGTCACACAGCTCTCTTCCATCCAGCTGATCCCTGGTTACAGCAGTATGGCTGTCTCCATACCGCTGAACCCGCTGATAAATGAAACTACACAGGGAGACACAGATAGTAATAAGTATGATCCAACTCTTTACCCAGTCAAATAATATATAGCTCAACTGAATATTATATACTCACTCTTTTAATAAATCAGCTCCTACTTCCAGTATCTTATCTGTAGTATTTCCTGAAAGACAAAGGTCAGTACTCATCATCCAAATACAAATAAATCAATAAATTAGTTTATATTTCAGAATGTTTCACTGTAATGTCACTTTAATCTCAATCACTAAACTCACACTTTACTATGAGCTGAATTAAATTAGCCACATTTAAAATTACTCATAAGAAAGCATACGTTGTCGATTATACGTTTATAATCTTATATTTCCTCCTATGCTTCACTCATTTTACCTGCTGTGTTTAAATGTAAAATTACCTTGTGAGAGACATTTACAGTATACAAAAGTCAGCACATAAGCCCCACAGTCTGTTAGTTGTTAGTTAAGTGAATTAGGCTAAATAATTTTACCGAAGTTGTTGCTGTGGCCAACTTGAACTAGCTTTAACTTTACATTTTCAAGGTGAAACAACGTAACGTTAATCCGCTGATATCTGTTTCGGTTTTGTTCTTACACATTTTTCTAACTCACTCATGTATAGCTATTTATGCTAGCTAACCGAGTTAACGTTCAGGGTTAGCTTTCCTGCTAAACTCAGTTCAGCTAATGTTACTGCTAGCAAGCAAACACGCAAGAACAACTAAACAATAGCAAATTGTTATAGTGTCATATTATCTATGTCTACCACAATGTTGGTGAAACTGTCAAAGTGAATTTAATTTTAATACTATTGTTGAATATAGCAAGGAGCTACCTTGATCGCCTCCTCCCGGGTGTGATGCCATCTTGTTGTTTGGTCGTGGCTGCTTCCGCACCGCACAAACACATACGACAACATTTGTTCATGGTTTTCCCCCCACCCGGTTTTCGACACCTCTGCCTCTGATTGGCTAGTACACACAGCGGCAGCGGACTAACGTGATGACGTAATATCATGACGTTAAAGTGAAGGTGAGATCACCACCTATTGACCAATGCTTTGTGACCTTTTTATATACAGTCTATGGCTGCGTTCAAGTCTTTTCTTGCTTAGGAAGGTTACTAACTGAGTGAAGAGAACCGGAAGTATTTCTGTGGCAGCCACGATAAGAGCTGTTCGAATTCTCTAAAAAATAAGGAAAGGTGCCTCAATGTTTCCTTTAATATCTCCTTTAGCATAGGGTACACCGGACCATCCTTTATGAAAGGAAAGGAGAGAATGCCGTCCCACAATTCCTTGCGGCGGCAACATTTAAAGAGGCGCACGTTCTCAAACTAAAGACCCTTGCAATACAGACGCACATTATGATACTTTAATAAGACTCACAATTATCTTCTTTCTTTTGGCTTTTTTGTAATCTAATACTGTATCAACACCGTGTTATGTTTCGGGTTGTTGAAATAAGCCATTACGTGTTTTCTACAATAAAAAAAAAATCACCAACCATGACGGGTTAAAGGATTGATCACCATGTAAGTTACCATTGGCTAATAAGCCTTTTCTCTCTTATGCCATAACATGCTAATATGCATATATCTTAAACCGTCAACAATAACTGAGACCCATGCGAGCTGTTACTAGTCTTGTAACATGATCAAAGTGAGGATAATGTTGCAGCAGGCTACACGCCTCAGGTTATGTACTGCAGCCTTCAGCAAATTAATACTTCAGTCACAGATGCTGACACACTCGCCTTAATAAAGGCAAAGATTAAGCTGGATAACCTCTTCTGTAGGCGTTTCCCACCCACTGATTTATTTGTGGCGGCCTGCCACATTATCAACGCTGATTTTCGATTGATTTTTTTACTATTTAAAATGGGTAAAATCGTATTTGATGACAGAGCTCCGCGCAGTGCATATATTCTCTCATCATCTCCTCTCGCCCCGTCGCTCCCTCTCTCTCTCTCTCTCTCTCTCGGCACAGTTACGCTGTGGGAAACACTGTATTTACATACAATTGAGATTCATGTTGATAAATACGCCTATGGGTGGGCAGGAGGGTGAGTGTGAGCAAGCATTCTTGATGTGACAACCCTGTCCATTATTTAGTGACTGGTAGGCTACCATATCTGCCTTTTTGCTATCTTGGTTATGAAGTAATATATTCCACCGTGTTGTCCACCTTTAGATGGCCTGCATTACAACAACATGGGGCGCAGTGTCAAAGATGCGCTTTTTGTAGTCCATCTTCGGAATGTTGTAGTTTTATCACGGCAAGCCACGTCAGTAACATCCGCCGTCGCATAATTACGTCGCTTAGAAAAGAGCAGTCGGATTCTCTGAGCCCCGCGGCCCGCTTTTCCTAAGTACTTATGGATTCTCCTTTACATCTTTCCTCGACCTCATGACGTTTTCCGTCGAGGTCAAGGAAAGGAGATTTTTTTTTTGACAGCCTATGTTTGACACTTGAATAGTCACGTCGAGGGATTTCTTTATCAACCCCTGTTTTTCCAGCTTTGATACCTGTGAAACAAATTTAAGTGTTATATAATATAATTATACAATAATAACATCAACATGATAGTCAGTGTACCTCATGAATGGTATCATGGTATTCAATGGAAAATAAACTTTACCATATAAATATCTGTTGTCGAATATGTTGGGAGAAGTATCATTTAATATTCTGCATAAATACTATGGTCAAATTTTTTCTTTCTTCCGGATCATTGACACTAGTTGCTCTTTTTGTTTAACCCTGAAGTTTAACCCTGAAACAACTGTGGATTTGTTTTGGACTTGTGTCCCTATTGAAAATTTCTGGTCAGATGTTTTTGTATTTACACAAGTATTCTTTAATGAGTTGTATTTCTCTTTCTTTTAAATACATTATTTTGGGGCGTTTTTGTAAACAAGAAGGAGAATGTAATTTTTACATTTGACTGATTCTATATTCATAAGTGTAGACTATTATGTCCTGTTTTCAAACTTGTCCTTTCAATATTTTAGAAAGTATTACTTTTTTTTTTCTTTCTGATTGTATGTTCTTACCGTCCGTCGTCTGTGGACGAGGCTTTGGGAGAGCTCGCACTGCGAATAAACAATGAAGGATGTGTTTACACTATTATATCTATCAGTTGGTGAAGTTAATGAAACAATTAAAAAACGTGTTTTTCTTTTGAGCCTCGCCTTTTCATAAACGTCATTTCCCGTGCCTCGCTGTCTTCCGTCCGTCGCGCGCATTCATAGGCCTCTTTACGACTCGGCTGGCAAAGATGGCGGATGCACAAGTACGTTCAGGAAAACGGCGTGGTGAATTTAAATCGATATTTTTACATCTAAATGAGCACATTTGTCAGAGTTTATTGAGTATGTAGTATTTATATTCCCTTTATACACGGCCCTGGGCCCTTTCAATTCACATCCAGGCCTTTTTATCTGATATTTGTTGCCGTTCTGCATACCCTCGTGTAACGTTGAACTAGCCGGAATGCTAATTCTGTTAGCTTTGCCTGCTACCGGTTAACTCTCTAGTTTAACAGTGATTGCTTTGTCTAAACTGCAAGAGGTAACGATTCCCATCAACGTATTTCCCCCTATAAATTGTTAAACGATAAATTGGTTTGTCCTTCGTCTCCGTTATAAGAGGAAGTTGGTCTATAAGTAGGTGGCTAGGCCGGGTGGTGTTGAGTGGCTTCACATTGCTTGGTTGTATGTGTTGCACGGCCTTAACGCGCTGATCTCCTTGTTCCACAGACCGAGAGGGCTTATCAGAAACAGCCCACGATCTTCCAGAACAAGAAGCGTGTTCTTGTCGCAGATGGTGGCAAGGAAGTCAAGGAAAAGCTCCCCCGCTACCACAAGAGTGTCGGGTTGGGCTTCAAAACCCCAAGAGAGGTAACGTAACTTGAAACGTCCAGACAAGTATCCGAACTAATGTATACAGCTGTTCTTTTTTAGCTGCAAATGATGTCTTTCTCACGATGGTCTTCCAAGCCCCTAGGGTTCTGACGATAGTGCCTTTTGGCAATGCTGATGCAGTCATAAGTTAGAAAATTACCTAATTTCATGGCTGGGCAATGACACTAATAGTAATTTTTGGTTTTGACCAGGCTATTGAAGGCACTTACATTGACAAGAAATGCCCCTTCACCGGAAATGTCTCCATCCGTGGCCGTATCCTCTCTGGTCAGTATAACACCTCACAGTATATGAAACACTACCACACTGGCTTGGGATGCTAAAGTTGTTTGCACATGAATTGTCTGACATTGATCACACTGCTGTAATATAATGAACAGCACAAATTGACCTATCAATACTCAAAAGCATACAGAACTGCAATATGATTATTGATGCAATCATCTTGCACTTGATCCAGAAATAGTGTGGAAACAGATGCACAAAATGATGAAGTACTTTGGTAGACCATGCAGTGGATGTTTAGTTTTACTTGGTATACAGTTAAAGACTTCATGTCTGGAGATGCAGTTAGTGGTTTAATTCCAGTACTACAAGAGATATAATGCCCAATCTGGTTCTGTTAGTATAGATGCCATAAGTTTTTTGCTCGGTTGGGCACAACATGAGCAACTTTCCTGACTGCAAATCAACATATCCTTGTTACAGATTCAGGTGAAGCAACCCAGACCCCAGCCAGTGTATTTAGAGGCCACCAAATCTGTATTGATCTCCCCCATTTCTTGTCACAATCCTGCAAATGATGTTTTTCTCACGATGGTCTTCCAAGCCCTCAGGGCTCTGACGATAATGCCTTATGGCAATACTGATGTAGCGGAGTGACAATTATTTAACCCCCCCCCCCCCCAAAATGATCAATTTCTTAAGGCCTTCTGGTGTTTTCTCCTGTGATTTGAGTGTTCAATGTCCTAGAAGACTGAACAAGCCTCTAAAATTAATCCTTTTTTTGTGTGATCTATAGGTGTGGTGACCAAAATGAAGATGCAGAGGACCATCGTTATCAGACGTGACTACCTGCATTACATCCGCAAGTACAACCGCTTTGAGAAAAGGCACAAGAACATCTCTGTCCATCTCTCACCTTGCTTCAGGTACTACACCTCATTTAATGTTTACGGTTCAGGTCTGGAAAATAGTGCAGTAATCTGTTCCCCTCAGCCAAATTTGAAATCTGTTTGGGTTTTTTTGGTTTTTTTAAATTATAACTAATGCATATGACTTTTCTCTCCTAAGAACAATGTAATTGTTGTAATACAGTTCTGGTGTCTAAATGTCCAAGTAAAGTTTTTGATCTAGCCAAAAAGTACATAATTTGCTGCAAATGATGTCTTTCTCACGATGGTCTTCCAAGCTCAGGAAGCTCTGACGACACTGCCTATGGCAAACGCTGATGCAGCTTTCCCCTCCTGTACAAATGTTAAGTGCTTGGACAGAGGTACCCCAACCACATGTTAATATCTATCTTGGTTGTGATGTTTTTCTGCAGAGACGTCACAGTTGGAGACATTGTGACTGTTGGGGAGTGCCGACCGCTCAGCAAGACCGTGAGGTTCAACGTCCTCAAAGTAACAAAGGCTGCTGGAGCCAAGAAGCAGTTCCAGAAGTTTTAGTTGAACAAGAAGGCTGCTGTTGGCTAACTTGTCTCACTGTCAAATAAAGAAAATCTTGTTTAATTTGCCTTTTCTGCTATTTGTCTTGTCATCCTCTTTGGACCTGGAACTAAACAATACATGACATAATCAGCTCAGCTACCTCTGGTTTTTGTGTTCTTTCTGTTCATAGATGAAATCGAGATAATTTTAAATGTCAAATTAAGACTTGCAGAAAGAGGGCATATTCTGAGCATTTAAAGAATGAATCAGGAAATGTCATTGTAGTAGAGAAATTGGTAATATCTAATGAGGCACTTCAGCAATTTTTTTTTTTCTCAACAGTAATGTAAATATTTAAATGTAAAACTGCATGGTAAGCTTAACAGTAAACCCATTTGAAACTGCATTTGTTTTCTCTTTAAGATAGTGGTCTAATGTTCCTTGGGAAGTAAACTGATTATTTCTAAACGATAGTATTTCTTTGCTCATGGAGTCCAGTAAAAGAAGCCAGTAGAGATGTGACAGTTGGGCTAAATTAGGAACTTTTTTCCCCTTGTTGCTTGACCTCCTGTTCCCTCCAAGCAATTGTCGGTCTCTACTGCCATTTAAAAAAAAAAAAAAAGTCCCCAAGTTAATCAGTAAGTCCAAGCATAAGTAGCATTATGCCCAGAACTTGGAAGAAATGACAAATATCCTTCTCACCCATCTTCCACCTTGACATACTGAGTCCATAAGAAATGTAAATTTTTAAATTATGATGGGATTAAGGATGTGAAGGCTTAGATTAGATGGACCATTGTGGAAAAAGACTGGTAACTAGCAAATTGGGGTAAAAAATAACCGTTCTCTCTCCTGATATATCTCAAGCAATACAGAAAACAACATTTGTCACGTAAAGGTAATTCACATAAAATTTTGTGTTGTTTGGAGCATGTGGAATTTACAGCATGTACAAGATACTGAGCACCACACTCATTCTCTGAGGCCAGCAGGAAAGATTGGGGCCAACCCCTTCCCACCCGGGACACATTTCACAACCTCCCCTCTGGCAGGAGGCTGCGGTCCATCAGGACCAAAACCTCACACCACATGGACAGCTTCTTCCCGTCTGCAGCTGGCCTCATCAACAAGGCCAAGGACCCCCACGGACACTCACTCTCTTGCCCCCCAAACCTCCCCCTTTTACAGTACACACTGTTAATGTTTGCACAACATATCAGGTTTTTTATGCACATGTAAATAGTAAATGCCATATTGCACATAGTAAATGATTCTTCTATAACTTTTAGATTTTGTCAATTTCATATCTTTATAGGCCTATATTATGCCAATTGTTACGCACCTAGTCAGCAAAGCAAATTCCGTGTGTGTGTAAAAACTACTTGGCAAAAAAACTGTTTCTGATTCTGATTCACATCTCAGAAACAGACATTTTGACAGAACTACACCTTTTGAAATCTATGCAAGACAAGATGACATACAGAGGTGACTGGAGTGCGCACTAAAATTGAAGAACCAGATACAGGATATATATATATGTATATATATCCTGTATCTGGTTCTTCAACAAAATATTGTTTCATATACACTACCGTTCAAAAGTTTGGGGTCACCCAAACAATTTTGTGTTTTCCTGAAAAGTCACACTTATTCACCACCATACGTTGTGAAATGAATAGAAAATGGAGTCAAGACATTGACAAGGTTAGAAATAATGATTTGTATTTGAAATAAGATCTTTTTTACATCAAACTTTGCTTTCGTCAAAGAATCCTCCATTTGCAGCAATTACAGCATTGCAGACCTTTGGCATTCTAGCTGTTAATTTGTTGAGGTAATCTGGAGAAATTGCACCCCACGCTTCCAGAAGCAGCTCCCACAAGTTGGACTGGTTGGATGGGCACTTCTTGCGTACCATACGGTCAAGCTGCTCCCACAACAGCTCAATGGGGTTCAGATCTGGTGACTGCGCTGGCCACTCCATTACCGATAGAATACCAGCTGCCTGCTTCTGCTCTAAATAGTTCTTGCACAATTTGGAGGTGTGTTTAGGGTCATTGTCCTGTTGTAGGATGAAATTGGCTCCAATCAAGCGCTGTCCACTGGGTATGGCATGGCGTTGCAAAATGGAGTGATAGCCTTCCTTATTCAGAATCTCTTTTACCCTGTACAAATCTCCCACCTTACCAGCACCAAAGCAACCCCAGACCATCATATTACCTCCACCATGCTTAACAGATGGCGTCAGGCATTCTTCCAGCATCTTTTCATTTGTTCTGCGTCTCACAAACGTTCTTCTTTGTGATCCAAACACCTCAAACTTGGATTCATCCGTCCACAACACTTTTTTCCAGTCTTCCTCTGTCCAATGTCTGTGTTCTTTTGCCCATCTTAATCTTTTTCTTTTATTGGCCAGTCTCAGATATGGCTTTTTCTTTGCCACTCTGCCCTGAAGCCCAGAATCCCGCAGCCGCCTCTTCACTGTAGATGTTGACACTGGTGTTTTGCGGGTACTATTTAATGAAGATGCCAGTTGGGGACCTGTGAGGCGTCCGTTTCTCAAACTAGAGACTCTAATGTACTTATCTTCTTGCTCAGTTGTGCAACGCGGCCTCCCACTTCTTTTTCTACTCTGGTTAGAGCCTGTTTGTGCTGTCCTCTGAAGGGAGTAGTACACACCGTTGTAGGAAATCTTCAATTTCTTAGCAATGTCTCGCATGGAATAGCCTTCATTTCTAAGAACAAGAATAGACTGTCAAGTTTCAGATGAAAGTTCTGTTTTTCTGGCCATTTTGAGCGTTTAATTGACCCCACAAATGTGATGCTCCAGAAACTCAATCTACTCAAAGGAAGGTCAGTTTTGTAGCTTCTGTAACGACCTAAACTGTTTTCAGATGTGTGAACATGATTGCACAAGGGTTTTCTAATCATCAATTAGCCTTCTGAGCCAATGAGCAAACACATTGTACCATTAGAACACTGGAGTGATAGTTGCTGGAAATGGGCCTCTATACACCTATGTAGATATTGCACCAAAAACCAGACATTTGCAGCTAGAATAGTCATTTACCACATTAGCAATGTATAGAGTGTATTTCTTCAAAGTTAAGACTAGTTTAAAGTTATCTTCATTGAAAAGTACAGTGCTTTTCCTTCAAAAATAAGGACATTTCAATGTGACCCCAAACTTTTGAACGGTAGTGTATATATATATATATATATATATATATATGAAACAATATTTTGTTTTCTCAGTAGAAAACTGGACATATATTCATATATGTAGAGTATATTGGTAGGAGGCTGCACGCTGGATCCACAGCAAGAATGTCCTGGTTTCAGTGTTTCAGTTCGGATTAACACTCAATTTGCTATTATAAATACATGGTGTTGTAGTATACCTTGATATTTAATTACTTTTTGAGGATATCAGCAAACCTTTGCACAGCAGCGCCTCCTACTGTTTCACAAATTCACAACCTGATTTTCCCATAAAAGAAATATGTCCAGCGGATGGCAACATATAATATATATTGAAATTTGACTCTAACACTAAGAGATGAATCAGGAGCTACTTTTTTCTAGTTTACCTTCAACTGGTTTAAAACAGCCTCTATCCCCAGGAGAATAAAATGAATCAGGTATAACTCCTCAACACAAACCCTATATGCATATTTCTGGCCTCTTTCAATGGGTCAGAATAAGAAAACCATTTTAAGTAAACCTTTTTATTAGGGGAGTAAGGAGACACAATATTGGGTTCACGAGATTGAGAGGAGACAAGATTTTTAAAAAATACACTACTTTTTCATAAAATCTTTATGCTGAATTGTATGAAGTTTTTGAGCATTAAACACCTAATTCTGGTGAATTCTTCTGCACCAATTTATGGTGGGATTTTTTTTTTATTTGTGTAAAGGGAAACATAGAATTCAGGTGGCAGGTGTGACAATTGAAGATGTAAAAATATAACAGAATAGGCTAATGCAGTAAGGCTCTCAGACATTTTGTGGTGCTTTCAGATACTTCATGTTTCTCCTGTGGGTCAACTTTTCTCATGTAATGTCATCCCTGCTGTCAGTACAAATGCAGACATGATTCAGTCTTCCCTGCACTTTTGTTTCTTTGTTTGGGGAAGTAACCTCTTTATATGTGCATGTGATACTTTTTCATCATGATAAATTAATTCAATGAAATTCAACTTCTGGACTCTCCTGTGTTTCAGCAGGTTTTCTGCTCATGTTAAAAACTTTCTGCACATTCAAAATCTATCCCACATATTTGTGTTCTCTGACATGTGACAAAAGAGTTGCATTACTATGAGAATTCGTAATATTTTTGTGGCTTCATTTTCTTTTAAAGTTGAAAGCCTCATGTAGTAGGCTACAAAAGTGAGACAGTGTCTGTGAAGAGGGTGTAGATGATTGGTACTAAAGTTGCCTGGTATGAATTCTAAATTTTAAGGCAATATCACCGTTATAACCAAGATCCTGCAGATAATAATTCAACTGAATGTCTTCTCCTACACCTCAAGTACAACTGTAACTCTACATTTGATAAAAAGAAACTAAAATACAACATTTATGATTTATTTATATATTTATAATTTATAAAAGTATACCCAGGCAATCTCTGTGTTTGCTATTTATATGTTGACATTCACGTGAGTCTTTCTTCAAAACACACACACGTGTTACACATAACATTAATCTCCCCAAAACACTGAAGTATTAATAAATACAATGAATATTGATAAATGTTCCTATGACCGAAGAACTCCATTTTATACAGACAGATAACTTCAGAATAAAAGGTCCCCCAGATATAAAATTACTCATCTCAGTGAGTATTCTTGTTTTTGGGTGTCAGCACTACGAGCCAGCCACACGATGGCGAAAAAGACCATGTGACAGAATGGAACATTGGGGTGCCGTTCACTTCAGTCCCAGAGGGGCAGTCAAAGTGATACATCCTATCATACATGCTTCATAAAGTGTATCACCTATTTTGCATAGTCAAGGAAGGAGAGGAGGGCTCTGCAGCAGGTGATTAAAACTGCTCAGAAGATCCTTGGTAACCATCTAGCGAGCATCAGTGATGTCTATGATGTGAGGTGCCTACGCAGAGCCCAAAGGATACTAGAGGACAGTACACA